TTATGGGTGTAATCTAAGCAGACACTGTCATAATCCAACCTAACATCCCCATCATTCAGGAATTCCTCCTTGAACACCTAGCGGTACCCCCAGCACACCTAGCTACACTCCCAGCACTCCTAGCCATACTCCCAGATATATATTACAAGCCCCAAAAAATCACTGAAATCACAAGAGGACAACAATAGCAGAACAAATCCTAATTTGCGTCCATTTTTAACGTTTTGTTTTAATCCTGGAGGTAATAAATACTGGATAATAAAAACAATGGAGGAGAACTGGTGTAAAATATAAATTAAGTGATATTTATTATAATACGCCAAAAATTATGCACGCAAAATTATATTTGGATACAGAATCGGCAGACGTAACAAGATAATCCTGAGAAAGTGTTCTCAAACATGCATTTGCGTTATTCTCTTTTTTTTCCTGTCTTTCAATTAGTTATTCTCTTCCTTTTTCGTCTCGTGTTCACTAGCTTTTTCTTTGTCCCTAATTGATTGGTAAGTTTTTTCATTGTCTCTCTTTTATTTTTATTTTTTCCTTATGTATTCTTTATTTCTTCGTTTTTTCCTTGTCTCTATTATATTTTTTCATTTTTTTCCTTATTTCTTCGTCTTTTCTTTGTTCTTCTTTATTTATTGTCTTTTCTTGTTTCTCCTTTATTCGCTTTTCTATTGCCCCTTCTCATTCTGTCTCTCCCTGTCATCCTTTCCTTTCACCCTAACCTCACTCTCTCCACCTAAACCTACATTCATCCACTCCCCACGTCAATCCTTCTACTCTCTTCCCCATATTACTCTTTCCACTCTAACCTGACTCATTCCACCACCTCATCTCACCCTGCCTTACCCCGCAACCTCATTCTTTCCACCTAACCTCACTCCTTCCACTCCCAACCTGCCACCTCCCACCCACTGCCTGTTTTTCCGTGCTGAATACATCAGGATTACTGACGTCAACAGAGGGGATTACTGGGGGCGCCTTGTCGTGTGCTGCGGTGAAGTCAAAACACTGCTGAGGATGAGTTTGTCTAAGTTCTGAACTGAGGCATTACCTCGATGTTATGTTGTCGTCTTGCTGGAGTTCGCTGTCGTCTCCTCACGCTAAGTCTGTGCTCCTGCTCTTACTTGTATGACTATTTTTTTTCGGGGAAGGGTATTTCGCAAATTGTTAAATCCTTGTTGGTCATTCAGCGCCAGGAGTGGTGGAGTCTCGGTGCTTCGGCAGCCTATATCGAGGTCAAGACTTCGATCATTCTTACTCGTGGAAGCTCAGGAAATGGTTTAGAGTCCTGCTCTCAAGATGCTTTTGGTAAAGTGTTTCATTTTCTTCAGAACGTGAAATGCTGTTACGGAGAGACATCGCCGTGTCCTGATATCCAGGATGTATCGAGCCTATGATTTCTTAAGCAAGGACTTCGATTTGTGTTGACATCAAGGATTTATCTCTTTAACAGTTCGTTGTATTTTAACAATTTCTTGCGTTTACAAACGATATAAAGACTCGGCGGAGTGGCTTCAGTTCCTTGCATCAAGAGCCCTTCCTCGGCATCAAGGAACCACTTCTCTTTCTCCAGTTGAAAGCATAAATGAACAACTTAAACATTTCGCCACAATAAACTTGTGCTTCCCGTTCCTCTTTCCGTTCTTCCGGACGCTCTCAATCTTTACGTCCGTTTCTCTTTCTCACTGTCTCCCTGACTCTCCCACGGTTACTCTCTGTCAGCACGCCCGTCCGTTTTATGTTAGGCTTCTTCCCTATTCCTTCTTTATGCCATTCTGTCTGTCTACCATACTTCCATTTCCTTATTCTGTCAAAAAAAATTTTTAATGTCTGTCAGACAATCGTTAACGTTCTGTCAGACTACCCCTTTTTTTTGTCTATAAAACGCTGTGAAGATTGAAATCCCTGTCTACCTGTCCGTCTACTACAAGTAGCAAGACGGGTAAGAGGACAGGTAGGCAGGCACTCGCTGTCTGCTGTAGTGTGTAAAACAGAAATGCAATCCAAGGGTTTTTCTCGCCTCGTGGCAGGGAAAACAACATTATAAAAATATAAGAGTGCTTTAAAAGTAACCTATTGCTTTTCTTTCGGCGCGCGTAATCTTACCTGGGTCTTAGCTGGGTCTTACCTGGGTCTTACCTGAGTCTTAGCTGGGTCTTACCTGGGTTTTAGCTGGGTCTTACCTGGGCCTTAGCTGGGTCTTACCTGGATCTTACCTGGGCCTTACCTGAGTCTTAGCTGGGTCTTACCTGAGTCTTAGCTGGGCCTTACCTGGGTCTTACATGAGTCTTACCTGGGTCTTAGCTGGGTCTTACCTGGGTCTTACCTGGGTCTTACCTGAGTCGTAGCTGGGTCTTACCTGGGTCTTAGCTGGGTCTTACCTGGGTCTTAGCTGGGTTTTACCTGGGTCTTACCTGGGTCTCAAAAAGGGCTGAGAATTCATGAGCTTCCTCTCTGGGCCTCTTGAGCAACTTCCCAGGGTCTCATGAGCTCCCTGGTTCTCAGAAGGATGCTGAGACTTCATGACCTTCTCACTGACGCCCCTAACAATAACCAACCCCTTTTCATTTTTAGAGTCATTTTTTATATTAGAATGAACCTTCACTTATGTGGCGTTCTCGATGGGCTTTTTTCTGACCACACAAGCTGCTAGGACCTCAGGACCTCCTCCAAGACCCACATGATGCTCAGAAGAAACTAGGCTTTAGCTCGACGTCCCTCCGGAGACAGGATTAAGAACGACTTTTCTTTCTCTCTCTCTCTCTCTCTCTCTCTCTCTCTCTCTCTCTCTCTCTCTCTCTCTCTCCTCTCTCTCTCTCTCTCTCTCTCTCTCTCTCTCTCTCTCTCTCTCTCTCTCTCTCTCTCTCTCTCCTCCTCTCTCTCTCTACCTCAGAACTAAGATCTTAGGATTGGCTGTTTTTTCCTGCTCACTTTTCCAACCTAGAAAGAAAAGATTTTTGTCCATGAGTAGAAAAGATAACGGGCTGAAATTACTGATCTATATGTATATAAATAAATAAATAAATAAATAAATAAATAAATAAAGCATTAGTGTTAAATAAATGTTAATGCAAAAGACACGTTTAACCCATGAGTGAACTTTACTATGGATAAAGGCCTGATAAATCTCTGTCCATAGCAAAACGTTGTTTAGAACTTTAGATGACACTAGAATACAGCCTCGTTCAGCATTACGTGTCTTTGCACACGCTTGTATTTTTTTGCTGCTCTTGAGGGGATTCTTACAGAGGATTCCCGGTGTTGCATGTTCAAAAGGACTTTTTTTGGTGAAGATTTTGCAGCAGAGTATTACGTGGGCCTGAGTCCTCGAGGAAAGAATGGAGAGCATAGTATGTTTTTATTGCTCTCACGCAGGCAGTACTTAGATGACTTGTGGACATGTGTAGAGAATGGATGAGGGCAGGATGATGGAGGTAGTGGGTGCACGGGAGGGAGTGAGGGGTAAGAGAATGGAGGAAGATGAGGAGGAGGAGAGGAAACAGGAAGACATGGTGAGAAAGAGATAGGAAGAGAAGGGAAAGAATGTACAGTAACTATGCAAGATAGGGACGAATGAGTATGGAAGCAGGTGAAAAAATTATTATTATTATTATTATTATTATTATTATTATTTATTATTATTATTATTATTATTATTATTATTGTTAGTAGTAGTAGTAGTAGTAGTATTGTCGTAGTTGTTGCTGTTATTATTATTATTTCTTTATTTGTTTACTTATAATAAGCGTTTTATTATGTTTTTTCGTGAATATGCAATATGATCGAATCAATATATGAAAGATATCATTTGTATACAAGGAGACAAACACAAGAAAAGACTGAATCGTCAACAACAACAGTTTAGTGAGTCGAAGGGGTTACAGATGATGAATTAAAAAATGCTTGAGATCCACAGCCTAAGGCCACCAAAAAAAAGACAGCCTACAAGCCCAGCAACAAAATCTTCAGAATATTTTTCCTTTTAGTTTAGCATCAACAATGATTTCTCCATCAACAACCATCTGTCACACGTGGTATCCCAAGCCACCTGTCACATCTGATATTAAGCTGGCTATATTATATTTTCCCATGGTTACGATGGCATAATATAACGCTTTCTGAAGCCCTACAGTGATTATGTTGGAGTGAATTTGTGACATAAACAAGAGTAAAACGTTATTACACCGGACAAACATTTAGTTTGTACAATTGTTCTGTGGGATCTGTTTATGTGCGAGGGGAAGATTTATGTTTAAGGAAGCTTAATGAAATGGTCGCCGGATAGGTAAAGTATTGTTTGGACTTTTGTCGCATACTTAAACACACACACACACACACACACACACGCACACACACCACACACACACACACACACACACACACACACACACACACACACACACACACACACACACACACACACACACACACACACATGATAACGACATACAAAATACTGAGAGGAATTGACAAGGTGGACAAAGACAGGATGTTTCCAGAGATTGGACACAGTAACAAGGGGACACAGTTGGAAGCTGAAGACACAGATGAATCACAGGGATGTTAGGAAGTATTTCTTCAGCCACAGAGTTAGTCAGTAAGTGGAATAGTTTGGGAAGCGATGTAGTGGAGCAGGATCCATACATAGCTTTAAGCAGAGGTATGATAAAGCTCACGGCTCAGGGAGAGTGACCTAGTAGCGATCAGTGAAGAGTGGGGAGGAGCTCGGACTCGACCCCGCAACCTCAACTAGGTGAGTACACACACACACACACACACACACACACACACACATACACCAACACTTCTATTTGTGGGAAATTCTGAGTTTAGAAAATAGATTTTCTGTGTGCATATATGACTATTTAATAGCTATATATTTTATAGTTGCCCATGATATATATATATATATATATATATATTATATATATATATATATATATATATATAATATATATATATATATATTATATATATATCTTTTTTATCTTTCCTAATTTTCCTGATTTATGCAAATGAGTAATTGCAAATTTTTCCACTCTTCAGATGCAGTGTCAGCTGAGAACCCTCATAACCCCCATCATCACCATTCCAACCATCAACCACTACCTCCACCATCATCTCCGCTACCATCATCATCATCAGCTGCTCCCCCACAACAGCAACGCCTTCGGCTGCAGCTTTTTCACGACGACGAGAACATTGGAGGGGAACACGTCAGAGAGGAAACTGCACAATCACCAGGCAGAGAAAAATTCTCGCTGCATCAGCGTTCCATTCGAAGTTTGGAAGGAAGGAGACGTCGATGGTACCAAAATAGCCATCATCTCTGGCACCAACAGCTTAAAAAAGACCAGCAGCTGCAACAGCACCAAGAACCCGATCACCAACAGCACGAGCATCATCACCAACATGAACAGCATCAGCATCAACACCACCAGCATCAGCAGGAACACCACCAACATCACCAACACCAGCATCAGTATCGCCCTCGCCAACAGCAACCCATCCGTCTGCAGCGATCTCACAGAAACCATCGACTGCAGAAGCGACACCAGATCCTACAGCATCAGCAGCAACACCACCAACACCATCACCGTCAGCAGAGACCTCACATGCTACAGTTCACCCAGTCAGAGTACCGACAAACTGTGTCAGAGGACGTTCCGCTTCATACTTCCATCATGACGGTAGGTTCAAACATGTTGGTATACAATGCCAACGAGATGAAGAAAAAGATACATGTGCAACATCTGGGTATTTAATTAAACCTTCCAGATGTTGCACATGTGTCTAATTCTTCAGGTTCAACATTGTCGTGCCGCTTCATACCTCCATCATGACGGAAGGTTCAACTTTGTCGTTCTAATACGCAATGTACGCCCTATATAATTACTGTATATAAATATTATGAACCTCTATAATATCAACCCACATGACCAAATATCGGGTCGCATTTTTTTTAACGACGAAGTATAGCCTTTTAGTTATTAAATAAGTAACGATATTTTTCAGCAACAGTAAACGAGTTTAAAGAATAGTTGACCATTTTAAAGAATAGTTAATTGGAATTTGTTAATGCAATAAAATGAACTGACTGAACTGTTCTAGAGAACCGCCCTAGTAGGTCAGGTGTCCTAGGTGTGTCAAAAAATACGAAAAACAAAAATTTCAAGCGAACCGCACTCCGCAGTCAGGTGGGACGCAATCATTAGCGGGCTGCATGCGGGATACCCCTGCTGCAATACTGCATTGCAATTTTGAGTGCCAGGCTGTACGGAAAACATGCGATAAAAAAATTCCTTAAAATTGTTTCTCATCTTGGTTCGTAATATTGCCTCGCTGCAGGAGAGATATAAAGAGGTTAAGGTAATGCAGAATGAGTAATGAATATAATAAGAATTTTTTTTTAAGTTAGGGTAAGTTAGGTAAGATTCCACAGGCACTGAATTACAGTTCTTTCAAGTAAGATTTGCTAAGTGATCCGATTTTTTTTTTTTTAAAGGGTAACTTTCACTAGCATATAAATTACCGTAATACAATTCGTAGATAGAAACAGGTCTACGGATATTTTACGCCATGTTTTACTTACTCTATTTCTCGCTTCAGTGGACAAAATACTAAGGCTTTCACAATACAGGACATCACCATCAGTCTCAATATATCTTGCGGCTTAAATTGCCGCTTACCCCAGCCATCAAAGTGCCAAGAATACGCCATTTTTCATGTCATTATTACATTCCTTCGAAGCCTCTGTTCTACGATGTACAGTAATTCTGAGAAACTGACAGACAGGTTAGAGAGTTTACAAGGTGGAAGGGAGAGAGAGAGAGAGAGAGAGAGAGAGAGAGAGAGAGAGAGAGAGAGAGAGAGAGAGAGAGAGAGAGAGAGAGACAGACAGACAGAAGAAGAGAAGAGAAGAGGAGAGTGGAGAGAGAGAGAGAGAAGTGAGAGAGAGAGAGACAGAACAGACAGACTAGGGAGACAGGAAGTTGAGAGGGAGAGAGGAGAGAGGAGATAGTGAGAGAGAGAGAAGAGAAGAGAGAGAGAGAGAGAGAAGAGAGAAGAGAGAGAGAGAGAAGACAGACAGACAGACAGAGACAGAGACAGAGTTAGTGGGAGAGAGAGAGAGAGATAGTGGAGAGAGAGAGAGAGAGAGAGAGAGAGAGAGAGAGAGAGAGAGAAGAAGAGAGAGACAGAGAGAGAGAGACAGAGTAGTGAGAAGAGAGAGAGAGAGAAGAGTAGTGGGAGAGAGGAGAGATAGAGAGAGAGAAGAGAGAGAGAGACGAGAGAGAGACAGAGAAGACAGAGACAGACAGACAGAGAGCAGAGAGAGAGATAGTGAGAGAGAGAGAGATAGTGAGAGAGAGAGAGAAGGAGAGAGAGAGAGAGAGAGAGAGAGAGAGAGAGAGAGAGGAGAGAGAATAGTGAGAGAGAGTAGAGAGAGAGGAGAGAGAGAGGAGAGACAGAGATAGTGAGCGAGAGAGAGAGAGGGAGAGAGAGATAGTGAGAGAGAGATAGTGAGTGAGAGATAATGAGAGAGAGAGAGAGAAAACACTGACCCCTTCATCATACCTGAGGGGAAAGGTGAAGATTACTAACTACTTAGGTAAGATTTGTCAGGAAACAAAACAAGTGTTTCCTGACGTGGGTCTTAGTCAAATAATGACCCACCGTTAGAGCTTCTCGTCATCTGATCGAGGCCTTCCGCTGGCTTACCGGTCAACCCCTTTAAAAATTATGGTCATAATCATAACCATTTTTTTTTTACTAAGCAGTGATCAGTCCAAGTGACAGACCAGTAAGGAGTCCATGAGGGTCTCTACGGCCACGAAGAAAAGATACTGGCGCAGAGTAATGTTACTCTCTGTGTAGAGTTTCATACACTCGGAATGATACGTTGTCTCGATCAAATTACCCTTGTCTTTCTTTCGTTACAGTCGGCACTACTGCTTTGTATCCATTGGTTTAATATGAAAGACACCTTCCCTCATGTGTCCTGTGTCATGCATCCACTATTATGTCTCTTGTCATATATTTTGAGCTCTGTACGCTTCTAACTGTATCCTGACTCCTTTCTTCTGTGTTCTGCTTCCTGTTCTGTATTCACTTCCCTGTGCCGTGCATCCTGCATCCTGTGCCTTGCATCCTGCATACTGTGCCGCGTATCCTGCACCCTGTGCCGTGTATCCTGCATCCTATGCCGTGTATCTTGCATTCCTGTGCCGTGCATCCTGCATACTGTGGCGTGTATTCTGCATCCTGTGCCGTGTATCCTGCATCCTATGCCATGTATCCTGCATCTTATGCCGTGTATCCTGCATCTTATGCCCTGTATGATACTGTATCTTCCATCTTCTTCTTTGTCCAGTGTTGTACCTTTCCTGTTGTGAGTGGTGTTGTGTGAGTGTCTCTCATACTAATGATTTCAACGTGTCAGCTTCACAAACACTCTTACAAACACACACACACACACAATACACAATACACACACACATACAGAAGCACGCACGGAACTTCGTGTTTTGGTAGCGTTTGGGGTGGTGCTTCATGTGCGATAACGGGTTTCTCTCTCTTCTGAACGCACGCTACAGGGATTGTCCTCTTTACCGCTCCAACACACACACACACACACAAGGTCTGCCTGTGCACATGTATACGTTTCTCATTTTTGTTTTCACCAGTCGTGAGGTGAAAGCTCAAATTTCTCCTCCCATTTCTCATCAATGTGTCGTAAACTTAAATCCCATATGGGAGGCCCTCTGGACAAGCTCTTGCGACATCTTACTACGAAAATAAAACTCAAAAGACTGTCACTTCGCAATTTCTTGTTTGTGTCCACAGCTGAAGGTACGAAACTTGCCAATAGGAGAGAGAAAGAGAAAGAGAAATCTTTTTTCTCTCTCTCTCCTGGGAAGCACGTTTGAGAGACAATCTCTTTCACGGGTCTCGTAGAAATGGAAACCACTTTAGGTGTGAGTGAATTTGTGTATATTTTTAAGAATGTTTTTGTATCAGCAATAAAAAGTAATATTTTCTTCTCTCTGAAACATGACAAACACAAAAATTACACACACACACACACACACACACACACACACACACACACACACACACACACACACACACACACACACACACACACACACACACACACACACACGTACACACATACCAGGTAAGAGCGACTGCCGGCCAGAATAAGGGACGCTCCGACATCAGATACCAACTTAGCGACACCACGAACTTCGGTATTGACGAAGGCGGAGTCATTTACAACTTGCGTCCTCTGGACTTCGAGAGTACCAACGGGCACTATGTTCTCCATATCACAGCGGAAGACCTTGGTGAGTAGACGACCTACCCGCTGGCTCTAGGATAGATTTTCGTCATATTCCTTCTAAGAGAAAGAGTCAGAATCACTGACGATAGAAACGATTCAGGAGAGCAGATATCGTTCCTGTCAGCCTCTGGTTTATTATCGATCCCTGATATGCTAATTATTGACTAGGTGAGTATAACCTTGTTTTGTTCTGGCGAGGATCATGTCTCCGTATCTTATTCATCATAACGTAGGAATTACAACAATTCATGTATGGTATCTTGGATCTAATTCACGTGTAAATTCAGCTGCCAGATTTTCATAATAAATTCTATTAATTCACGGCATGGTTAGATCACCTTATATAAACGGGTAAAAGGGACCATATAATTGTTCTTAAGTGATAGGTAATATCTAATCAATAAACGGGATCAAATCAATGGCTAAATCAAGGATTAATTTAATCCAATTATTATTAATAGTCAAACGTACAGCAATAGCTAAACATAACTATTAAACATGGAGTGGTTTTGTAATCGTTTTATGTAGAGTAACCACTAGCGTATTTACGTAACTTCAACATTGTTTCTCATCAATAGACGTGGGTCTGTTGACTTCATGTCGCGTAGTGCTTTTAATATCATGAATAAACAAGGTGTCATGTGGGATCGAGCCCTAATATGCCAGTTTAAAGTCTGCTTGATGACTTTAATATTAAAGTTACTAAGTTTACGACAGTGTGTAATAATAACTTGCCTCGTGAGTGTGTGTGTGCGTGTCTTGCAGAAGGTGACCGGTGGGGCAGGAATAAGGCGGTAGTGACGGCTAACATTCAGGTGACAGACGCCCCAGAGGAACCTTACTTCGACTCCCCTCACTACTATTTCTCCGTCTCCGAGTTCGCGCCCAGAGGTGAGTGCAGACTCCAGTTGTGTACGTCTCTTCGTTGAGCTGAATCACGCAAGAGCTGAGGGAGCCTGAAGCACCTACATCGCGTCGGCGTGAATATTTCATGTGAGCGCATGTGTGCATGTGTGTTTGTTTTGCCTACCCTCAATCAGAAAACGAGTTATGTATCCACGAGTGCTCGTTTTGCCCAGGAACCTCCAGACAGCAAGATTTTCATTAAAAAAATACGAGGGTTGCGCTCCGATCCTCCTGTATGTATTCTTTGTAAGATTTCATGAATACAACGTTTCGCACAAGGAGAGCTTTGACATGACTTGATAAAGCTCTCCTTGAGCAAAATGCCATCTAGGTAAAGACTTCTTCTTCTCTAAGTGTCTTTGTAATCTCATTCAACAGTCCCTACTATCCCTTAAGGAAATCCAACGTTCCTAAGTGACCTTTCATAACATTCAACAGTCAAAACAGCAGTCCTTGAATAGTATTCCACACTCCTAATCATCCCTGGAGAGCTCTTAAAGGTAGTTACATTCCATGGAGAACGCTTAGCGGGTGTAACTGGTCCATCCATAACGCCCAGCTGCCATAAAGGCCTTTCCAGTGAAATGAAAACGGTTTCTAACAGTCCTTGAGTGGAGTGTAACGGTCACAACTGTTTATAGAGACACTGATGACTGTCTAGTCCACAAGCCTTAAGTGACATCCTTAAATGTTCAACGGCTTAAGTGGACAGAAAAGAGCATTTATAGTATTTGTAGGAATAGTAGTAGTAGTAGTAGTAGTAATAATAATAGTAGATTTATTAGTAGTAATAAAAGTAGTAATAATAGTATTGGTAGTTGTAAAAGTAGTAGTAGTAGTAGTAGTAGTGGTAGTAGTAGTAGTAGTAGTGGTAGTAGTAATAGCAATATTCACTGTTATTCTCCTTTACTATTTATTGTAAATTATTATAACTAAACTGGCGTTTATAGTTATGTTTATGAACATTAAAATGGTATAAAATAGTTATGTTTATGTTTATAGCCACATAAAAGCCTTAAATTTGTACGGGTTATTTAAAGACAAAAGGACATTTATAAAGCGAAAAAACTACTTAGAATAAATTCCAAATCAAGAGAATGACAAAATTCTCAGCACAAGTTTATTGTTATACCTGTCTTTTATTCAGTCATTCTATTTGTGAATGGAACGATTGATTTAACGAAATATATTGCCTTGTTTTTCGTCATTTTAATCTTATTTTTAATTAAATATCTTATCTTTTCACGATTTTATATGTTGTTTTTTAACCATTGGGAAATAAAGCGCATCAAAAAACGTAACGAATATAGTTTTAAGGCTCATTATTTAGACATATAAGACACATGGGTAACACTTAGGTATCTTGATTATGGAGATGCTTCGCCAACCAGTGGTTTTATTAGTCCAATAGAAACAATCGTTTGAAGACTAAAAGAGGTAAGTTGAGGTGATCAGTCCCTCAGCCTTGATAGGTGGTGTTCAGTTCTTTAGCCTTGACAGGTGGTGTACAGTTCCTCAGACTTGACAGGGGGTGTTCAGACCTTCAGGCTTAATAAGAGGTGTTCAATCCCACAGTCCTGATAGGAGGTGTTCAGTTCCTCTGTTTTGATAGGTGGTGTTTATTCCCTCATTCATGATAAAGGTACATAAGTAATGTAAGAAAACTGATTATCTAAACACGAAACTTCTTATAATAAGGTAATGAATGACATCTAAATTTTGTCAGGACTTTGATGTCCCTCAGGGCGATGCACTATCCTAAGAGATGGAAATAGCTAGTTTTTTTTAAAAACTCCAGACCTGTTGCAAATGAACTTACTTGAAGTTGCTCTTGCAAATTCTTTTGCAATTCAGTCGTTGTTCTTTGATGGTACGAACTTTGCCAACACCTTCCAGACATTGCGACTTATTCTGAGTATTCAGGCGAACGTGACGGGTCATTGATTTAATTTTGGGACATATAGTTCAGGGTATATGTGCAGTGTAACGCAGGTCAGGGTAGCTGCGCAGTGTAACACAGGTCAGGGTAGCTGCGCAGTGTAAGACAGGTCAGGGTATATGCGCAGTGTAAGACAGGTCAGGGTAGCTGCGCAGTGTAACACAGGTCATGGTAGCTGCGCAGTGTAACATCAGAGTAGTTACGCAGTGTAACACAGGTCAGGGTAGCTGCGCAGTGTAAGACAGGTCAGGGTATATGCGCAGTGTAACACAGGTCAGGGTAGCTGCGCAGTGTAAGACAGGTCAGGGTAGCTGCGCAGTGTAACACAGGTCATGGTAGCTGCGCAGTGTAACAGGTCAGGGTAGTTACGCAGTGTAACACAGGTCAGGGTAGCTGCGCAGTGTAAGACAGGTCAGGGTATATGCGCAGTGCAGGACAGGTCAGGGTAGCTGCGCAGTGTAACACAGGTCAGGGTAGCTGCGCAGTGTAACAGGTCAGGGTAGTTACGCAGTGTAACACAGGTCAGGGTAGCTGCGCAGTGTAACACAGGTCAGGGTAGCCGCGCAGTGTAACACAAGTCAGGGTAGCTGCGCAGTATAACACAGGTCAGGGTAGCCGCGCAGTGTAACACAGGTCAGGGTAGCCGCGCAGTGTAACACAGTTCAGGGTAGCTGCGCAGTATAACACAGGTCAGGGTAGCTGCGTAGTGTAACACAGTTCAGGGTAGCTGCGCAGTATAACACAGGTCAGGGTAGCTGCGTAGTGTAACACAGGTCAGGGTAGCCGCGCAGTATAACACAGTTCAGGGTAGCTGCGCAGTATAACACAGGTCAGGGTAGCTGCGTAGTGTAACACAGGTCAGGGTAGCCGCGCAGTGTAACACAGTTCAGGGTAGCTGCGCAGTATAACACAGGTCAGGGTAGCTGCGTAATGTAACACAGGTCAAACTGGCAAGACAACCTCACATCTTCAGTCTCACTATCTTATCTTTATCCTTCTATCCACTCTATCTTACTCTATCCACTCCTACTCGCGTTTGACTCCTTCCTGCAGACTTTGTCTCAACATTGTGCTTCACTCTGCACGAGAGAGAGAGGACCAGGTGTGAAATTTTCATTGAGGTAATAATTTATTTAGCGTCTCATACCCCCTGCAGGCAGCTACATCGGCACCGTCAGAGCTGACGACGATGACGAGGATCTCGACTACTATTTCTTGGAGGGGGTCGAACCCCCTGAAATGGTGAGTTAGAGAGAGAGAGAGAGAGAGCGAGAGAGATATTGTGTGTGTGTGTGTGTGTGTGTGTGTGTGTGTGTGTGTGTGTGTGTGTGTGTGTGTGTGTGTGTGTGTGTGTGTGTGTGTGTGTGTGTGTGTATGTGTGTGAAAGAGAGAGTGAGAGAAAGAGAGATTATCAGGGAGGAAGTAAAGAGCGTGAGGATAGATCCCATAGCGAGATAGACGTCCCTATCCCTCCCATTTTTCCATCCCTAAACCCTCCACACACACACAAACACACACACACACTATCACTCGCCACACCTTTTCTCCCTACACCCCACTATCTATTCTTTCACCCCAACCCAATATCCAAAATCCCCTCCTTCACCAGCCCTAAAGCACTCCTATAGTACCCCTCCACCACTCCTACTCCACCAAACTACCTACCCACCATTCTTCCTCCAACCATAAAACACAAACGAATAACAAACGCCAAAAGGTTTTCAGGACACAAAACTTATTTACTGCACAAAGGTGACAGAGGCAACAAAGGCTGCCAGAGCTACAGAGGTGTCCACTTACACTAGGATGCCAGAGAGAAGAGGACAGGAAGATTGCAGGATGAAATGGCAGAAAAGGGAAGTGTCATCTTTGTTAGCAGAAGTGCAGTTGTGTGTGTGTGTGTGAGTGTGTGTGCGTGTGTGTGTGTGTGTGTGTGGTGTGTGTGTGTGTGTGTGTGTGAGCGAGCGCGTGAGTGAGAGTGATTGTAGTTATATGTAATAATATAAGTCTTGTGTGTTAACCCATTACTCACAAGATTACACAGTGATCTCACATTCTCTCTCTCTCTCTCTCTCTCTCTCTCTCTCTCTCTCTTCTCTCCTCTCTTTTCTCTCTCTCTCTCTCTCTCTCTCTCTCTCTCTCTCTCTCTCTCTCTCTCTCTCTCTCTCTCTCTCTCTCTCTCTCATCTATCTATCTATCTATCTATCTATCTATCTATCTATCTCTCTATCTACCTATCTATCTGTCCACCTATCTATCTATCTATCTATCTATCTCTATCCCTCTATCTATCTATCTCTCTCTCACAGTCTTGTCTCTTTCCAGTTCACAATAAACAGCGTGTCTGGGGTCGTGTCATCAGGATGGCCCCCAGATGGCACACAATGGCTCTACACCTTCAAGGCTGGTGCCATTGACCACCGAGGTCACGTGACCTTAGTGCCAGTCACTGTCCACATAATAGGTTGGTCCCATACCTTTTTTTTCCCTGTCTCTCCTACATTCCTATCTTATTTATACTCCATCTTCTGTGAACCATTTTTTGCCTGTTCTTTGCTTTTTTATAGGTCCTCGGGGGCATTTAAATAGCATCTGTACCTCTGCCCAAGTTGACCTTGACGTTGATTCTAGACCACGTTATGCTGCTTTAAATAACCCAATCTGACCTAGTGTTTATTTTTTAAATAATACTATTAATAATAATAGACTTTGCATTCATGGTGGGTGATGGTGCCTCTGACAGACTTCAAATTTCTAACACCAAAATTTCATTCACCTTTTGTGTCATAACTCGACCTATTGTGTCACACAATTAAACCTCTTGTGTCAACGTTTGACCTGTGGTGTCAAATTCTGACCTTTTGCGTCGAAATTTGATACGTGATACCAAAGGTTGACCTCTAATGTTGAAGTCCGGCATCTTGTGTCAGAGTGTGACTTCGTGTGACTTCGTGTGTCAAAGACTGACCTCTGGTGTCAGTGGATTGTGACCCTTCCTGAGAGCTTGTGTCTTGTGCTTTATGACACTGATAAACAAAATCTTCGTATTTCTACTGCTTGTTGCTTCTAGTGCTGGAAATTGTTAAATTATATTGTTGCATCATAATTATATTGTTGCATCATAATTATATCATCGTGCCAGACTTTGCAATTTTTTTTTTTTTCAGAATGCCTTTCAGTTACCTTTTATTCTTATTTTGAAATGATTTTGTATGAAGACGTTGAGCAAGCCTTTGGCCGGAAAGCTTTTCCCACCGTGAAGAGCTTTATTAAGTAACTGACTTAAGCTCTACGCGGCGAGAAATGTTGTACCAGTAAAAGTCTGTTCTGCAGCTGGTGATTCGTATGTACTTGCACTGCTCCCTTTTCATCCAGCACCTTTTATTTTGCATGCATAACACTCGAGGGTCCTCTTTCACACTTCTATCTCTAACCTTTTCACTCACATACGTCTGTTCTCTCACTGTCACACTTCTCTCCAATTCTTTTCTCGCTTGAATGTGCCAACTTTATTCAATAATTCGAAAGTCATTATGTTGGTCTGCGAGTAGTTCCTCGTGTTTGCATCTCTAATGCAGGTAATTTTAGCCTCTGAGCCTAAAACAGATGTTTGTGCATTGATATTGGTTTTGATATTCGATAGATCTTGGTTTTATCTCTATGTCTTGGGCACTATTTCATGTCAATTTTCAATAAGTCGGACTCCATGCTATATTAACCTTTGTATTTCCGTTCTCTAGAAATTAAGTTAATTACCACTTTCGTTATATATATTTGAGAGAAATAAAATAGATTTAAATTATTCTTTCCTTTCATTCATATATATAATATATATATATATATATATATATATTATATATATTAATATTAATTATATATACTATATATATATATATATATATAATATATATAAATAATAATATTATATATATATATATATATATATATATATATATATATATATATATATAATATATATATATATAATATATATATATATATATATATATATATATATATATATATATATATTATGTTTATTTTAGGTATTTTAACAAAGCTCCATTATAGATTTTAAGTGTTTCAATTGTCTGTATATTATTTGAACCTATTTTTAAGTGCTTAATCTTAAGCTTCATTATTTCAATTCTTTTAGTACAATTTTCTGCCTATATTAGGCATTTTTTACAATTGAGCAAAGTAGCAATACGAAAATAAATTCAATGTTTTTATTTTTACATTTTTACCCCTATTTTTGGCTTTCCTTTTTATGGTGAGGCATGAGTGACCAACACCAGATTTAGGTGTTTTGTTTTATTATATATTTTATTGATGTGTTTCTCTTCTTACATAGCGAGCAGCCCTTCCTACGGTAAGTCAAATAATATTCAATAAAAGGAATAGTATTTATTTGAAGCAATATATTGGAATATTAAAGAATTTAATTTTAGCATTGATATATATATGTATATATATAATATATATAATATATATATATATATATATATATATATATATATATATATATATATATATATATATATATATATATATATATATATATATATATCATTTAAGACCACAAGAAATAGGTGATATCTTAATATGCAATATAAGCGCAGTGATTACTTTTGTTTTTCACTGTTGGTGTATTGCATATAAACAGTGTGCGAGCAACTTAGATATGTACAAATTCAGTGTTTTAAAAAAAATGAAGCCAAAAATTGAGAAAGTTAACCCAATTTAAAGAATGATTCTTATAGACGTGTATTTAAATTTATTGATATTTTTAACTGTACTTATTAAACAGATTTGTTATTAAATATACAGTTGGTATTAATATCATGTGTTGTTTACCTGTCTTTTCCACGCTCCTCAGCTCGCCTGGTCTGGGTCACCAATGGTGAGTCACATTTTTCGTATTTTGGAGTAATGGGTATTACAGTAGGCGGTGTGGAAAATACTGTATATATTTTCCAGAAATTCAGTATTTATATGTATATAGATGGCCATACTGTATTTAATAATATTTATGTCATAAAAAACGGAGAGTCTGCGTCTGCGCAGGTGACTCGCCATCTTGGTTTTTAATTTTTTACAAACGTTGGTGTAATGGGGAAGAATTTTTCGTGCTCTAGAGGTTAAAATTGTGCTGACACCTCTCATATAGGAGGCGAAATTGGTGAATATGCATTCCTGCATAACTTGAGATATCAGGCGACTGGACAAGACCTCCAGGAACCTCAGATAAGCTCTCTAGATTTGTGTGTAATTCTGGCCAGCATTATTTTCATAGATTTAGTTAGAATGAGGTTTTCTGAGTATGATACACATTAATCTCCAGTCAAATTGGTGAGTGATATTAAGATATATTTTTCTTCTGTTATGTAATTGTGTATATATATAACCATTTATTATTTTTAATATACAGTCCACAAATTTATATATTTACCAGTATTCCTGGTGTATGTATATTTCATTTAATTAATAGGTCCAGAGCAACTTGTGGTTATGACAGTGGTAGGTATCGAAGGGGGACATTTTTTGCGACCTAGGTGTCCCAAATTCCTACTTGTCTATGTAACATTGATAAATAATAATTATCTTTGTTATCATTTTCTGTTATGTACATAATGAGCTACATTCAGGTAAATGTAATTTTCCACAGGCGGTACCTTGGGGCAGTGGGTGTTAGTTGGTGATGTCTGGATGTAATGGGTGTTTGGATGGGGTAATACAGGGTTGTAATCAACATTAGTAGGGTGTAATGAATGCTAAAAAGGGTGATAATTAGTATACTTAGGTCACAATTCTTGTTACATAGAGTAAATGGTTGTAAGATTAGCCGTTACATAACTGTTAGATGGAGAAACAGGTGTTTAGACAGTTATATGTAGGTGTTAAATGGAGCAATTGATGTTTTGAAATACCTGGGGAGTGGAGTAAATGGGTTTTAGATTAACTGTTACGTGGAATAAATGACTTTTAGAACGACTTTTAAATGTTGTAAAAATAACTGGTGAATGGAGGTAATTTATTAAGTTGCTGTAATGGGTGTAATTGTAGTTAGAGCAGTTGTGATATTAGTTTAATTGGTTTGATACAGCTGTTGATACAGTGGCTTAATTGGTTGTTAAAGTGGGTGGTGCATGTAAGTAATTAGTTGAGAGCTGGAACATAAATGTAATTAACTGTTAGAGTAGTTACTTTGCACAAGATAATTGGAAGCTTGTTTCACAGTAATCATGTAAGTAAAGGTGTAATAAATTATTCAGTATTCTGTATCCACACACACACGCACATATACTGTATGTATATATATATATATATATATATATATATATATATTATATATATATATATATATATATATATATATATATATATATATATATATATATATATATATATATATATATATATATGCGTGTGTGTATAAACACACGAGCCTTGCCAAAATAAACGTGCAACAAAATATACTCCAGATAAGAGTCATGGTGGAATTGAACCCCATAAGAGATTCAGTGAGCAATACGGACATGCGAACCTTGGTGTTCAGAGTTTGCGTCCCTCGACCGAACATACAAATCAGGATTTTGTTATAAGCGGATCGCAGTTCTCGGACGCCCAATTTGTTAGCCTGAAGCTGAAGGTACATTTTTATTGTCTCTTTCTATATTGTGTTAGCGGGTGAATTGTTTTTGTAATATATGTACCTGTGTGTGTACTCGCCGAGCTGTACTTGCGTAACTGCTTTTGCAGGGGTCGATTCATAGTCCCTGGTACGGTATCTTAAACTACAGTTGATAGTTATTGTTGGTTCCTGGCCTCTAGAGCGCTACCATAACTTTTCTTGAAGCTGTGTACGAGAGTTTATATGAACCTTTTGTTGCTTATTCTACTGATTTGCCACTGTGAGTCTGAAGATGTGTTTCCTAGCATCCCCGTGGCCGATATCATAGTAATTTTGATTTTAAAAGGATTTTGGAAAGCCCAGGATTGGCACTCTGGTTGTAGGCAAGTGGAACACACACCTAGTGGCGACATTGAAGAAATAATTGAAAGTAATAGAGCCAGTAGGCCTATTACATTGTTCTTTTATCCTTGTATCCCTATATTCGTGTATGTTTTCATTTTCTGTGCGACACACACACACACATACACACACACACACGCACACACACCTACACACACACACAAACACACACAAACACACACATACACACACACTCAAAAATCCCTCTCCAGTCCCACAAACATTTTCCGACACGGAGATACAGTAATCAAGCAAACAAACCTCACCCCAAAAAACACCAAAAAACACCCTCACAAACACTGATTTTACAGGTGGCAAGCACGCTCCCCCAGAGCCCAAGTGGTCGGGTATTGCTCGCTCGATCTTCGACTTTATTTACTTTTTACTTAACTCCAGCAAGATTTCCCGACGCGATCCTTTGAGGCCAACTAAAAAGGGAAATAGATTCACCCTGTGCTACACTGGCATCCCTTTGAAGTTAGGGGTAAAGGGGAGAGGGGGAGAATGAAGGGATAGGATGAATAATTCTATATTATTCTTCTTATTCTTATTCTTATTATTATTATTATTATTATTATTATTATTATTATTATTATTATTATTATTATTATTATTATTATTATTATTATTATTATTATTAAAATGAACATTATTATTAAAACGAACCTTTGTATAATTATTATTACCAATATAATTAAAAGAACTTTATTATTAAAAAAGACAATATTATTTTTATTAAAAAATAATTTTATTAGACTTATGGGAAAGGCTTTAAAGATCATAGAGCTGTGATTTATTTATTAAATATGCTGATATATTTATTAACAAGTAAAAGAATAAAAAAATATAACGAATTAATAAAATTTACAAATTGTGGAATAACGAGAAAATTGATGGGACCCTCTATGACTTTTCGTTTATTTACGTCCCTAAGATAGTGTTCATTGCAAAATTTACGTCCCTAAGATTGTGTTCATTGCAAAATTTACGTCCCTAAGATAGTGTTCATTGCAAAATTTACGTCTCTAAGATAGTGTTCATTGCAAAATTTACGTCCTTAAGATAGTGTTCATTGCAAAATTTACGTCCCTAAGATAGTGTTCATTGCAAAATTTACGTCCCTAAGATAGTGTTCCACCAGCATTGCAAATTTACAAGTTTACAATATTTCCAAGTGCAGTTTACATTAGGAGGTATTTTGATCCTTTTGGATTTAGCGCTCACTTTGTAATAATATTAGGAGGAAAATTAAATATACTACACCAGTGGATGCAAAATATCGATTATCAAATATATAACATATATATATATATATATATATATATATATATATATATATATATATATATATTATATATATATAATATGTATGTATATATGTGTGTGTGTGTGTGTGTGTGTGTGTGTGTGTGTGTGTGTGTGTGTGTAAAACTTGAGTGCAGTACTAGATTTGGGTTATGGAAACGTCTCGCTCATTCGTAGCTTTGTCATTCTGACACAATCCGGGGAGCGAAACATTTTCCTAGCAAAAGCATACTATTGCTAGGCGTGTCTTAAGTCTGACCCTTACTTGTTTAGCGCTTCGTTGTGATGATAATATTGATAATCTTTATTCTGTACCTTCCAGGACATGGAAAATGAGATGCTGTTTTGATACTGACTGGAAACACTCAAACGTCGGCATATTATAATTCTTTTCTTCCGGTTTAAGCTAGTAAGCCAGCGACAGGGCTCGGTCATATCACCCAAAACCTTCCCCGAGCTGGTCTTTATATCACTCGCGTCATCTAACTTCTTTTCCATTTCTGTTGACATATAAATTGCTACCAATATTGAGCAGTTTATATAGTCGGAGAGGTGTGTGTATATCACGGTTTATATATCCGTTAACAAATATTCTCCATAACTGTTCATCTAATATGCATTAATTTACATTAATATTAAAATTCCAGAAAAAAAAGAATCCAGGTCTGTATAATTATGAAAGTGAGAAATTACTTTGGAAAGCAGATTAAATGTAACGAAAGGCTTAAAAAATGTAATTTTTAATATTGGACAATAATTTCGAGGGCAAAATTGCAAGCGTGATAAGGCAAGAGTTGAAGATAAGCTTACACTGCAATTATCAATCAAAACTCTTTCATTACTCGCGAAAATAATAATGACAGTGTTGCAGACGAATAAAGAGGCACAATAAAGTGACAAAAAACAATAAACCACAGATAGAAATATGAATCTTATGATTTTTCGATCCGACTTGTACCATTATCTAGTTAATGGTCCAAGTCAGACCGAAACGTCCTCATAAATTTCATTCTCTCATGTGCGGGGTATCTGTAAATTGCAAGCAAATCAACGAAGGGAGAGTTTGTACCAGAAACTAGCTGCCGTGTTAACTGTGGGGCCGGCTGGCCAGGGCGTTCAGCACTCCGTTCAGTGATTTGATACTTATCTCGAAATGCATTAACCAGGTCACATTGTTGATTAAGTACTTGCAAGGGAGTGTTATTGTTTGAAGGTAGGTGTTATTGTTTGAAGGTAGGTGTTATTGTTTGAAGGTAGGTGCTATTGTTTGAAGGTAGGTGTTATTGTTTGAAGGTAGGTGCTATTGTTTGAAGGTAGGTGCTATTGTTTGAAGGTAGGTGTATTGTGAGTGGTTGTTTGAAGGTAGGTGTTATTGTTTGAAGGTAGGTGTTATTGTTTGAAGGTAGGTGTTATTGTTTGAAGGTAGGTGTTATTGTTTGAAGGTAGGTGCTATTGTTTGAAGGTAGGTGTTATTGTTTGAAGGTAGGTGTTATTGTTTGAAGGTAGGTGTTATTGTTTGAAGGTAGGTGTTATTGTTTGAAGGTAGGTGCTATTGTTTGAAGGTAGGTGTTATTGTTTGAAGGTAGGTGTATTGTTTGAAGGTAGGTGTTATTGTTTGAAGGTAGGTGTTATTGTTTGAAGGTAGGTGTTATTGTTTGAAGGTAGGTGCTATTGTTTGAAGGTAGGTGTTATTGTTTGAAGGTAGGTGCTATTGTTTGAAGGTAGGTGTTATTGTTTGAAGGTAGGTGTTATTGTTTGAAGGTAGGTGCTATTGCTTGAAGGTAGGTGTTATTGTTTGAAGGTAGGTGCTATTGTTTGAAGGTAGGTGCTATTGCTTGAAGGTAGGTGTTATTGTTTGAAGGTAGGTGTTATTGTTTGAAGGTAGGTGCTATGTTTGAAGGTAGGTGTTATTGTTTGAAGGTAGGTGCTATTGTTTGAAGGTAGGTGTTATTGTTTGAGGTAGGTGTTATTGTTTGAAGGTAGGTGCTATTGCTTGAAGGTAGGTGTTATTGTTTGAAGGTAGGTGTATTGTTTGAAGGTAGGTGCTATTGCTTGAAGGTAGGTGTTATTGTTTGAAGGTAGGTGTTATTGTTTGAAGGTAGGTGTATTGCTTGAAGGTAGGTGTTATTGTTTGAAGGTAGGTGTTATTGTTTGAAGGTAGGTGTTATTGCTTATATAGTTATTGTTTGAGGGGGGAGGGGTTTATTCTCTCAGAATTTAAACAGTTTTGCTGCTACAGGTATGTACACATATTTATTAATGAAAAATTAAAATGGTATTTTTTTATTAGCTAACTGGGTATGAAATCAGAATTTTAAGGGATCTATTTATATATATATATATATATATATATATATATATATATATATATATATATATATATATATATATATATATATATGTAAGTGGGGAAGTGGAACAGAATTCTTCCTCCGTAAGCCATGCATATCATAAGAAGTAACTAAAATGCCAGAAGCAAGGGGTTAGTAACCCCTTGCTCCTGTATATATTACTAAATTTTAAAAAGAGAAGCATTCGTTTTTCTTTTTGGGTCATTCTGCCTCGGTGGGATACGGCCGGTTTGCTGAAATAATATATATATATTAGCAGCTGTTTTTTTGCAAAAAAAATGGAAGGTATTTTTCACTTAGTAATATGTTCCAAAATTTCAGATAAGATGGTCAATAAACAGGGGATAGAGAGAAAAAAAAAGCACAAAAGAGAGCAAGAGGAAATTAGAGTTAATTGAATGACACATATTTGACTTTAGTGTAAAAAAATCCAAAAGAAAAATAGAATACCTGTATACATTTTTATTTAGAGTTTGTTAATGGGAGATTAATGTCACAGGTTTTTCAATGTAGGAAAGAGGAGAGGGGGTATGGGAAAGGAAAGAGAAGGAAGAGATAGGTAGAAGAGAGGGAGAGGTAAGGAATTAGGATGGAAGGCATGGAAGGGAAATGTGGCAATAGAGAGCAAGGTGTGTGGCACTGGGGGGGGGAGGGGAAAAAGAAACGGAGGGGGAGGAGGAGGAGGTGGCACTTGGTTGGTAGTATTGGGGTATTAAAGTTGTCACAGGAGAAGAGGAGAATGTGGATGAAAAGGGAAGAGGGAGATACGAGAGGAGAATAGGGAAGACGTCTATACTGAAGAGGGAAAAGAGTAAGCTTGAAGAATATAAAGACACAATACCAGAGAGAGAAAAGCTTATCACGACGTTTCGATCCTTAAACGTTAAGTTTATCAGGAAAATTAAAATATGAAATAATTGAGAAGGAACTGAAAATAAAAATAGTGAAATGGACGTTGTAAACATGAAAACAAATAAACGGAGCAGGAAAGGAAGAGACAGCAAAACACGAAAGAAACATGAACAGTGTCAGCAGATAACAACATACAAACCGAGATGAACGACAAAAAATAACTCAGAACAAAGAAAACAACAACAGATAAAAACTTCTCCTCTGAGTCAGTATGCTACTGAAGAAGCCTGCTGTGTAGGCGAAACGTTTCGACAATATTAAAAAAAAACAGTTGTCGCGCACGTCTCGCTCCTTTACATCAATGTATTAATTAGCCATTTATGCTATTATATGCCTGAAGGCGGATGTTGATGTACCCAGAGAAAGTGGTAAGGAAGAATGCAAAGATTTCAGCATTTAATTTTTATAAAAAGCGCTAAACCCATAGGGGTCATACAGTAGAGACTTCAGAAGAATACTCAACAGTGTTGTTACGACTGAAGAAGGTATGGCCAGGCAGAGAACAAACGATTCTGAACAAAAGATTTAAGTTACACAACACGCTTTGCTTAAGCACTGTTTCGCTCTGAGTAGAGCTTTATCGTGACTACTCGAAACACCCTTCCCCCTTCCCTCCCGAAGCGCGAAATGTTCTCAGACACAAAAGCACGTTCTGCAACATCACTCTACTACCAACAACAGTAAGGCATTTGGATGGAAACCACGCTCAGCTGACAGACTTCAAATAACGGCAAGTACTGAAACTCCTACAGGAACTAAAACAAAGGCAACGAGACATGACAACGCATCACCTTAGTTACCAAATGAGAGAACGGAACCTCTTACCAAACAACGTGCGTGCCCAGACCTTCAAATGTATCCTGAAAAAACAGCTAATGGACTTCCACTATTCCATAAGGGTGACTGACAGGAGTCACTGAATTATTGAACAGTATTCCTCTGGCGTATACCGTGCAGGATAAAGGTGAGAATATTTTAGATTTCTGGAGCTCCTGGAGAATGCCATAGTCGACTGGTTTCTCATGCTGAGGTGTGATGCATGAGTTGCATTACGTGTTGCTAGCACAAATAGCCTGGCAGCTCAGGCAAGCATCCAGGATTTCTGGTTCAAGGCAAGCCTCGGAAAGTTAACTGAAGCACTGACATAGGTTATGGCAGCTCTGGGCCTCAGATAGAAAAGGACGCAAATGCAGTTTAATGTGATGCTGTATTGACAACTTTCGCTCTCACAAACAGATGGTGCATGCCTCTATTTTCTTCCATCGTATCGGTATTTTATACTATTCCTCTCCATCGTGCCTCAGACGGCTAACAGAGAACTATGATAAACTAGTGAGGATCAACAGTAATGTAATGGCACTTTGAACAACAAGCAAGCACCAGACGAGAGTAGAGAAACTCTGGAAACTTTTCAAAGGTATATCAGAGGTCAGCTTTTATTGGAACAATACACAAAACTGAACGTTGTCCCAAAAATAGCTTGTTCTGGGTGGGCTTCCTAGGTGGGCTTTTTAAACTGATTCTCTAATCAATTCTTCGTAAAGAAAAAACAGAGGTCAGTCTTAGTCCCTTTTACTCTTAATATTGAAAGAAAACAACCTTCCAGACTGCATGTATTTTATATGCATAAAAATACATATAAAATACATATAAAGGGCAACTGAAGAGCAAGAAAGACTTCTCACAATTTCGGGACAGGTTGTGTTGATATCTGAGTATCATGTATGTCGTTACCATATCTCTGATTTTCCTTTCCCCTCAGTCATATTTACCGATTTATTTGTTGGTTGCCTGAGACAAGTGTGTATGTATGTATGAAGGGGTTTGTGAACGTGTGTATATTCTATAGGATATAATACATCATGGAGTTAGTATAGCATTATAAGGAGTTTGTATATCATTATAAGCTTCTCTGTGTTGGTCAGGAAGATGTTTGTTCAGGTTTATGTAAATTTAAAAGGGAATTATGATTGAAAACCTTTCTTCCACTCTGTTTAACAGGTTTTAATAATTTGATAAGCATTTTTGCTCATAATCTCTCCCACATACTCTTCACTCTCTCACATACTCTTCACTCTCTCACAAACTCTTCACTCTCCCCACATACCCTTCCCTCTCCCACATACCCTTCCCTCTCCCACATACCCTTCACTCTCCCACAAACCACACTACCATGGGTGAGTGTAGGTCTGCCGTCACTCAACTTTTATGTGGCAACTCAAGCGTGTTTGAAAACTCTCATCTGTTGTGTAAACTTTGATAAAACACACAAACACAGATATATTTTTTTAAAAGCACTAAGTAAAAAATCTGTTTTTTTTTTTTACCTCTTCATTCTGTGTTTTAAGGAATTTATCAATGGGATTTTTCAGTTTTTCCATGAAATAATTTTGTGTAAATGAGAGATATACATTAGTTACCCTTCAAGGAGGTGGGAGGAAACAGTACTGGGGGCCCTTGATGCTTCTGGAGGGCTCTTGATCCAGGGAATTGTGGTTAACCTCCCCATTTCCTCGGATCAAGCAAGATTACCTCTCATTGCCTAGGTGTTGTATCTCACCTACGGGTTTATAACTTCAGAGGGAATATTATAACGATTATAATTATCTTATTTGCAATAAGGATTAAATAATTACACTTTGGTTATATTTGAATTAATTCATCACTAACGAAAATAATTTTCAGTTTAGTGCTTTGGAAAAATCGCTAAGAAATTATTACCTATATTCTAGTAATTATAAATTATCACTAATGGTTTGTAAAATTCATAATAGGCCGTTATAACTTTTTTCAAGGTCTGAATATATTTTTAGATATTTTTATGCAGGTTGTAATGCAGTCGGTAGCAATGAGAATTAATCTTCTGGTTGAAAATGATTTCTCTTAAGATATTTAGTTTTAATTTCATAACATGCTCTGTTTTTTCTTCTAGACAACAAGAAACCGGAGTTTTCAGAGTGTGAAGCCTACGACGGAATCCACGTGAACGAGAACGTGACCGCTGGCACCCCTGTTTTGCTGGTAAGTGATGGAATGAGAGAGGGAAAGGAGGGAAGGACGAAGGTATGGAGAAGGAATGTAGGGATGAAATGACTTACCAAAGGACTTTCTATGTTGTCTCTAGCGCAACCTCGTCGATAATGTGAAGACACCCTAGTACACCACCAAACGGGCAGTCACCCGTAGGCTTCACTCTGCATGCGTCACAGAGACGTCCCACCTCCGTGAATCGTTCACTTCTCCACTGACTCTCATTTGTATCAAGTTGTCACAGCAAACATGCATTCAAGAAACCAATTAAACAGTTTCATGAAAGTCTTGACTGACACATTCAACGTCACCCGACTCCCTGTAGGTACGTTGTCTATATTAAATAGAATATCAACAATATACTCTAGCTTTCCATGGCTTCAAACTCTCCGTTCCATAAGTTGTGTTCAGTCGTGTCTTTACGATATCTCGAGATATCAACTCTGTGGTAAGTTATTGGAAGGATCAGTTTTTGTGACGAGTCCTGATAGGTTAACAGTTCTTTCTACGTTCAGTAAGTAGAATTTTTGTGTGTATAAACAATTTATATGACTGATAGAGAATAAGAGGCAGAAATAAAGGAAATCAGAGAGGCAGGTAAATTTACAAATATACAGACAACGAAAGAGACCCAGAGAGAGGCAGACAGAATGACAGAAATATACAGGTAGATCGACAGATAACATGGCACATAGAGAAAATAACAGACAGGAAAACAGGATGGTAGACAGGCAGACGGACAGGTTTAAGAACAAATGAAAAGAAGGTTTTAACCTAAACTAATTTAACTAGCTAATGTGAAATAAACGTACCTAACCTAACCAACTAATTTAACCTAATCTAACCAACTAATTTAAACTAATCTAACCAAACCATACCACTGGCGGGGATAGAACCCGCGATCAGAGAGTCTCAAAACTAACCACCTATCTTAAGCTAATTTAACCTAAAGGTAAGCTAATCTAAACTAGCCTAAGGTAATCTACTTTCCAGGTTCACGCGACGGACCAGGACTCAGGGAGAGAAGGAGCCCTTACCTATACTCTCATAAACGATTTCGGTAGCTTTGCAATCCACGCTTCCAACCAGCACGGCCAGGTCACCACCACCAGGGTAAGAGTGGAGGGGGAAGGGTGGAGGGGATGGGATGGGACTGAGAGTGGATAGGGAAGGGGAAATGTATGGGTGAGGGAGAGGGATGAGTAAAAGGTGGAAGGGTCCTCTCTCTCTCTCATGCTGTTTCAATTTTTTCAAGAAAATACCTTGGGGACACACATACACACAACTGCACACACACATATACATTACACACACACACACACACACACACACACACCTAGCCAAGCACGTAAAGAAACTAGAGAAAGTGCAAAGGTTTGCAACAAGACTAGTCCCAGAGCTAAGAGGTATGTCCTACGAGGAGAGGTTAAGGGAAATCAACCTGACGACACTGGAGGACAGGAGAGATAGGGGGGACATGATAACGACATACAAAATACTGAGAGGAATTGACAAGGTGGACAAAGACAGGATGTTCCAGAGATTGGACACAGTAACAAGGGGACACAGTTGGAAGATGAAGACACAGATGAATCACAGGGATGTTAGGAAGTATTTCTTCAGCCACAGAGTAGTCAGTAAGTGGAATAGTTTGGAAGCGATGTAGTGGAGGCAGGATCCATACATAGCTTTAAGCAGAGGTATTATAAAGCTCACGGTTCAGGGAGAATGACCTAGTAGCGATCAGTGAAGAGGAGGGGCCAGGAGCTCGGACTCGACCCCTGCAACCTCAACTAGGTGAGTACAACTAGGTGAGTACGTGAAACATATAAGCACACCAGTATAGCCTTGTCTTGATTGGTACAGTGAGCCATCAAGGTATTTTAATTCCAGAAACATGTAAAAAAAACTCGTTATAAATGTGTGCGTTTAGCTTTAAGAATATAAGGTTTATATTACCCCTGAGACCAGTCTTGTGGCGCACACTCTACTCTAGATCACCGCGAGAAACATTACAAAGATTAAATATTTTTTAACACCATCCCAGTTTTGTTTTTAAATTTATTTTTTGTTTTTTCCTTCTTTTTATCTGCTCTACATTTCCTCTTTTTTTTTTTACCTGTTCTTTCTTCTGTTCCACTTCTTACTTTTCCTTTTCTTCTCCCTGCGCCGTCAGAGGCTGGACCGAGACGGAGAAGACAAGGAGTTTTTCCTGACGGTGATCGCTAAAGACGGTGGAGTTGAACCCTTGCAAGCTGCTTGTTCCTTCAGAGTTATCGTCGACGACGTCAACGATAACCCGCCAATATTCGACCAGCCGGTAAGTAGCTCAAATGCCCTCAATCTACTCGCCTGTCTCTACTTTGGCTCTACAAGGGGGCCGAGTCAGTCCTTTCCCCTTTAATAGCAGTCTTCTAAGGGCCGTCTGTAACGGGCTCTGTGATTGATCCATTAGCTCGTCTTCCAGGCAATGTGATTGGTGGATCTGTGTCGCCTGGAACACTTTCTCTCGGCGATTGGTCGCTTGCCAGTTGGTGTGTTTGGAGGGGAAGAAACTGTTGTGTCTTCAAACGATGTAATTGGTTTATTTGTAAGCATAAAATGTTCTCTTGTCTTATACATGGTTGAATAATGTAGGCTGGAGCATCTTTGCGTTATATCAGTTCTGGAGACGAACGTTTTAAGGCTTCGTGATTCACCGGTTCTGGAGATTGGAACGTCCATTAAGTCTACGATTCGTTGATCCCTGAGCCTGCAACGTTTTTCGGGAATTTTCATTCGTTCTGGTGCCTGGAATGTTAGTTAGGTCTGCGAATCATTGGTTCTGGAGCCTGAAATGTTTCTCAAGAACGTTGTTCTTTCGTTCTGGTGCCTGGAGAGTTCTCAGGTCTGCAATTCACTAGTTCTCTTCGCGAGATTTTTTTTTTTTTATTTTACCTAGTTCTGGTTCCGATAATTATTTCCAGCACTACGATTCTTGTGCTTGGGTGTTTGGAACATTTTCCAACTCTACAATTCTCTGTTACTGGTGCCAGGAAAGTTTTGCAGTTCTACAACTCGACGGTTCTGGAGCCTGAAACATTTTCAAAGCCACACAAACGACTGGAAAGTAGGCTCGCCTGAAGCATTTTTAAATTCTGCCGTTGCTTATTAAGACTTTATTTTTTGAGACTGGTATAAGCTTGTGTTATGCAAGTGGCTTTTTTCGAGTAGTTATCAATGTGAAGGTAAAATGCGTCTTCGCTTTATTACTGATGGTTTAAGTGACTGATATACTTAGTGACCGAAGAAACTCCATGCACTGAATGACTTACAAGGGTTTTAGCACGTCATGAAATACAATTTTCTGAGAGCTTTTCCTAATCTTGTGTTTATTTTACACTGTAGGGTAGCTGGAATGTATTTTAACTCGGAGAATTCGTGTTCCTTATAGGTTTAATGTATGAGATTAACTCCAACAGGAGGGATTCAGTGGGATTTCATGTACATTTTCGACTCCCGTGACTGGTCGGCTGAAGTGGTTTGTATATTCCCTTTCGTGTGATTTGGAGTCTGGATCATACCTGTCCTGTGGTTCGTTGGTTGAGTTGCGTGGATACGCTTTTTTACCGGCCATCATTTCATACGTTCAGAATGGTCTGCACCTTGGGACTGGAGAAACGACACAACTGCCTGGTTTGGTTATGATTCGTGAATGTGGCTGTTGGTGTGCTGTCTAGAGCAGGATTATCAAGGCTGAAGGATACAGATGCAGAACTAGTTTGCTTTTATTCCGACAACGTTTCACTCAATGTATAAAACATAAAATATTCAACTCGAAAATCCAGTTTGTTTATATTCTTTCATTTTTCAAACTACACAGGTCTCATTCTTCCTCCTTACAACATTTTTAAGATCTTAACACCACATATACGCCTTAATAAATACCTTAATTATTTCTTGACAACGGTATGGACGGTGGCAGAGCGTCTGACTTGCAACTTCAACGACCCAGGCTCAATCATGGGCGGGGGTGAGGCATACAGGAAGGTTTCTCAGGTCCCGCTACGTTCGTTTGCCTAGCAGTAAATATACACTTAGAAGTTAGTCGATTGTAGAAGAGGGACCAGAGGACTCTAGTGAAAAAAAAATCATTTGGGTTTCTTGGTTTATAATTATTTACCTTTCGGTGTTAATCAGAATGATGTCTTCTTTGTAGAGGTAGACGAAAATTAGGGATCAGGCAGTCAAGTTGACGAAGGAAGGAGGGGAGCTCACAAGAAATTACCAGGAAGTCAGTTCGGAGCTTAGCATGAAATTTGGGAAGATCTTCGTATATTTTACTAACACCTGTATCTACCCCTCGACAGCGGTATGAACAGAGCCTCGCCACTGACCACCTGCCGTCTTCACCGGTGTTGAGAGTGACCTCTTCTGACTTGGACTCTGGCATCAACGCCCAGGTCACCTATCACCTTGAGGGACTCCCGGAGTACCTCGAGTACTTCACCTTGGAGCCCATCACGGGAGTCTTGTCCCTGAAGCGACCTCTAGATGGAGCAATGGTGAGTGTAGAGGAGGAAGGGTGGGAGGTAGGGATGGCGGTAGGAAGGAAGGGAGGGAGTTAAGACACGAAGGGAGAGAGGGAACGAAAAGAGAACAGAGTGAACCATAGAGAAGGAGAAAGATAAGAACTGAAGACCAAACAAAGAATGGATTGAGAAAGGGTGGAAGGAAAGAAGGAAGAGAGGGACTGATGGAGGAAGGGACGAAACGAGAATGGAGAAAGACAAGGATTAAAAAAATGCAGGCAAAGAAAGAGGGAAGCAGACGAGAGAAAGAGGGAAGAAGGGACAGAAAGAAGTAACAAGGAAAGAAAAGGAGTAAAGTGAAAATATTCCATCACATTAAACCAACCAAGATACTTCTACTTTCCTCCTTCTTAAAAAACGATAGTTAGTAAAAACAAAATCTCAGTTTATGTAGTTTATTAAAAGCATACGAAGATAAACGTAAAATTTATGTCAGCTACTGCTAAAAATAATGAATATATAATTACAGGAATAACTGACGTAAATGTAGATATAATTAAAAGTTAACCTTACCATCTAAAATAATATTTTTTTTGCCAAAGAGTGTAGTGAAGCTTATAAAATAATTACATGCAGTTACCCCCTAAGTCTAAAGCAATGGAGTGTTTCTTTTAAGCAAAGGTACTAGTTTTGTTTAGTTTTAAGGGACGTGCTAATTATCCGAAGTCCTGAGAAAGGAAGATTAGTTCCCTAAGTCTTTAAATAAGGTGTAAGTTCCTTTAAGATAAGGCAATGCAATGAATTTGGATAAGATAACAATTCCTAGCTTGTAAAATGAAGTGTAAGATATCAGCTCCTAGTCTGTAAAGTGAGGTGTAGGATAACAGCTCTTGGGTCGTTCAATGAGCTGAAGCAAGATCTTAACCGTAAGAACCTTAAAATGACCCGAGTAAGAAGGATGTTTTTCCTTTATTTTGTCGTAGTTTAGGCGTCAAAGATGTGAAGGAGATTGTTCGCGTCAGTCAGTGGACAGCGGTGACGCCATCGCTGTGGACGACGGTACCCGTCAGCGTGCACAGTGTGTTCCTCGGGGTGAGGATTGACACCCTCCGGGTCAAGCAGAGCGCAGCTACCGAGAACCTTGAGAAATACCACAGAGAACACGAAGTGGCCTGTTTCGTAGTGCCAGGTGAGAGGGTAGCCAAGGACACGCGGGACACTAGGTACCTAGGGACTATGGTGACCCCGGGGAATGCCCCCCACGGGAAGAGAACCCTGGAAAAGTGGATACACCAGGAAAGAGGGGACCCTGGAGTGAGTAGGTGCCAGGAAAAGGGACCCTGGGAGGTAGGTCCCAGGAAAGAAGACCTGGGAGAGCTAGGATCCCAGGAAAGAGAAACCCTGGAAAAGTAGATCCCAGGAAAGAGGGACCCCGGGAGAGTAGGTCCCAGGAAAGAAAGACCCTGGGAGAGTAGGTCCCAGGAAAGAGGGACCCCGGAGAGTAGGTCCCAGAAAAGAGGGAACCTGGGAGAGTAGGTGCCAGAAAAGAAGGACCCTGGGAGAATAGGTGCCAGGAAAGAAAGACCCTGGGAGAGTAGGTCCCAGGAAAGAAAGACCCTGGGAGAGTAGGTCCCCGGGGGAGCTAGTCACACAGGAAGGTACCCATCAAAGAAATCTGTTCAGGGACTCCATACAGAGGGAGGTCCCAAGGGAAGTAACCCCACGGAAAAGAGGTGTCAGGGGTCCCAATGGATGGGACCACAGGCAAAGGTACATCCCGCCTTCCCAGTACAATGTGTAATATGTAATCGTGTTTGGGTTTCTCAGAAGTAGTTTACTTCGTAAGTCGATAATTTGAGGAAATGTTCATTTATTCAGATGAACGTTCAATTTAATACGTGGGAGAGACCTGTTTCTCTCTCTCTCTCTCTCTCTCTCTCTCTCTCTCTCTCTCTCTCTCTCTCTCTCTCTCTCTCTCTCTCTCTCTCTCTCTCTCTCTCTCTCTCTCTCTCTCTCTCTCTCTCTCTCTCTTTTTTTTTTTTTTTTTTTTTTTTACACAGGGTTTGACAAGGTTAAGGATCCCTAGCTTTATTGACAGCTATATTACAGGTTAAGGATTCCTAATTTTATTGGCAAGCTAAGAGCTGTTACCTACATCAGCTCATTTGAAAGCATTTTTATTGTTATGAGACATACAAGTACGGAACAGGATGAAGTTGGAGCCATCTGTGGGCCAGCATTTTCATTTGATCAACTGACTTTATCTCGTTGACATCATTATGCTGTACGAATATGTTCCATACTCGAGTCATCCTGGGTATGTATGATCTCAGATGGAGTGATGTTCTGGAGAAGGGTACAGCCAGAGTGAAGTTGCTGCTTTCTGCCCATCTTGAGGCATAAAAGCTTGTTTCACGCTGTCCTCGAAGTGGATCCAAGTGTGGTATTTTGACAATATTGGCCTTGTACATAACAGTAAGGCCACCCACATCCCTCCTATGTTGAAGGCTCTGCTGAAATGACAGATCTATCCAGGATGGGTCCAGGCGAGAGATGAGACGTCTTGCTCTGTTCTCTACTCTGTCAAGCAGTCGCAGATGAGAGGGGGGGCAGGAAAACCAAGAAAGTGGAGCATACTCAAGGTGTGAGCGTACTTGTGCCTCGTACAGGATCTTGCAACCCCTACTGTCAAGCAGATGCGAGATACGGCGAAGTGCTGTAAGCTTCCTGGCTGCCTTGTTTGCAAGATTTACAACATGGTTCTTCATGGTTAGTTTGGAGTCTCTCTCTCTCTCTCTCTCTCTCTCTCTCTCTCTCTCTCTCTCTCTCTCTCTCTCTCTCTCTCTTCTCTCTCTCTCTCTCTCTCTCTCTCTCTCTCTCTCTCTCTCTCTCTCTCTCTCACTCTCTCTCTCTCTCTCTGAAGGGCTCTGAATTCAAGGAACTGGAGCTACTTTTCTCCTTCCTCGGGTCTGACCTCAATGCCTCCCATATTCTGGGCGCTGTATGGGGGGGGCCCATACGGATTTAACGCTTTCCCGTAAATGTAATAAAGAGGTGTGATAATTCGTAGAGGAAGAGAAGAACATCAATAAAAATTGGCTGGTGTTTGAGGTTTCTTTATTGCAAAGCTGAAAATATTTATTAAAACCAGCTGGAGAGAGAGAGAGAGAGAGAAAGAGAGAGAGAGAGAGAGAGAGAGAGAGAGAGAGAGAGAGAGAGAGAGAGAGAGAGAGAGAGAGAGAGAGAGAGAGAGAGAGAAAGGAATGGCGACGTTTGTTCCAATCAAAAAATTTTTCAACAACAATGCCTTTTACGTGTGTTGCTTCCCTTCACACGTCCCTCCAATCATCCCTCCCTCCATTCCTCTCTCCTTCCCTCCATTGGTCTCTCTCTCTGTCTCTGTCTCTGTCCTCCTCTCTCTCTCTCTCTCTCTTCTCTCTCTCTTCTCTCTCTCTCTCTCTCTCTCTCTCTCTCTCTCGCTTCCTTCATAACTCTCTTCCTTACTCCTTCAGTTCATTTCTCCTTTTCTCCCTCTCTATCCCTTGATTTCTACCTTCTTCTCTCCCTCTCCCTGTCTCTCAGACCGTTCCTCCACCACTCCAGATACCGTTTGGTCTAAAGCCAGACTCTCAGCCAGACTCTCAGCCAGACTCTCAGCCAGACTCTCAGCCAGACTCTCAACCACACTCTCAGCCAGAAGAATACTGCCATAAATAATTCACATCAGGCCAGCAACACTGCGTCTAATTTTTCTTGCTGCTTCTCCTGTCCACCCAGATCCTTCCGTCTTGTCGCTATTCCTTTCTTTCCTTCTTGTCAGTTTTTTTCCATGTCGTCGCTGCTTCTTTCCTTCTGTCTTGGTGCTTTTTTTCTTCCTTGTTGCTATTCCCTTCTTTTCGTCTTCTTATTCTCTTCTGTTATAATTGCTATGCACTTTCTTTCGTCCCTTGTTGCAGGATTCAAGTTTTTATATATGCTTTCCTCTTCTTCCTTTCCGTTTTCCATCCTAACTTCCCCCTCTCTCCCACGTACTTCCACACCTCTCGTATCAACCCCACTCCAACACCCTTCGCTTCCCCCTCTCCTTCCTTCCCCACTCATTTCACTCCCTCTCCTCCTACCCGACACACGTCACCTCCCTCCTCCCTTCTATTCCCCTGTCTGTCTCTACACCTCACCACTCATGGGTGTAACAAACATCACTTGACGAGTGTGGTCCCTTAGAGTTACCTCACCTCTCATAAGTTATTCATCACGAGCATGATTTACCCTTTAATGAGATGATTGTGTACCTGAGATGATGTCCAGAATCACAGTGAGAGTTCCAAGATTGTGTGAGATAATCCAAATTTGTTACTTTACTGTTGTTTGCATGGATCATTGAGTTGTTTATCTGTGTTGTTCATTCCAACATGTTATGTTTACAGTTTGCAAAGGGTAATTTCAGGACTCTCTCTCTCTCTCTCTCTCTCTTTCTCTCTCTCTCTCTCTCTCTCTCTTTCTGTTCATTATCTTTTTCTTCACCCTCTGCTCCCCTGAGGAGCATCAAGGCAGCCTCTTTGAAGGGTGATGAGGAAAATATTCTTTTAGCATTCTTTATTTAAGGCGACTTATCAAAAGTTGGCGATCATCAGTGAGCGATGTCCTGCCGGCCGCCCAGGATGCTGCTGCCTTCATCTCCGCCTCCCCTTTCTTTCGCCTTCTCTCCCTTATCCTCCTCTTCCCTCTCCTCGTCTCTTTATTTGTCTATTTCCTTTTCCCTTTTTCCCATCCTATCTCTCCTTCCCCAATTTTCTCTTTTCTCCCTCAATCTCTTGTTCTCCTTTCATCCCCACATTTGATCTCATTCTCACCACTTTTTTCCTCTCCTCTCATTTCCCCTCTTTTCGTTTTCCCTGTCTTCTCTCTTCCTCTCTCTCCTTTCAGCCTTTTCCTCCTATTCTTTTCTTCATCCAGTGGATGAAGCAGCAGATTCACAATTCTTTTTGTCTCCACCTTCCTCTCTGTCTCTTGCCAGTTCTCTTCTATTCTTCTCTTCACAGATGTATCAAATCTTTCTTCCCCCCTCTTTTCCCTAGCACATCACTCCACCCCATTCCCCTCACGGCTACCTTCCATTGTATCTTCCCCTCACACTCGTATCTAAGCAGTTTTCACAAAATTCTCCCCCTCCCATTTTTTCTATAACCCCTATAGAGAGGCTGCATCCCCCCCCCCCAATGCTTCTATCTTCCCTCTCCTTCCTCTCATCTCCCAAACAGTTGGGCAAACTATACTGATAGGAGTTAAAACAATGATTTTTGTAAATATATATTGTCACTCTAAAGGAAAAAATATATACCTCATTAACAGGTCATTTGCATGAATAAGACCCCGTATCAGGAAAGACTTATCCTGTCTCCTGACGACTAAAACATACTCCAAGAAAAGCGATATGATGCACCATTAAAGTCTTGTCCTGCTAGGTATATATGACTGAGTCTTCTCCCATCCTTTAGACACATTACACACTGTAAGCCACCTCTATCCCCCAGCCTAGCCTTGCCTTGCTTAATTAATGTAATATGTAACGTAATTCTGCCAAACTTATCTTGGGCCAGCTTAAATATATTTCATTTTGCTTGGCATTATTGAAGTGTGTTAGTACCATGATGTTCAGGCTGGTTTTCACAGTGTTATTACAGCACTAAATTTACGCTCAGTGTATATGCATATTCGGATCCATGTATATATTTGTTTCTTTTCCTCAAACTGTGATAATGAAATTACCATAAATTTGATATCCACTGTGGGACAAACCATGCCGAGGAATGGTAATTTCCGTATGATAGTAACTCCAGCCCGGCTAGAACGAAATTTTTATTCTGTTTTTTTCCTTCCGTGTGATGGATAAGCCATTCTGTTAGATAGTAATTCCAATGTAACCTAACTCTAGCTCTTCTGCAGGAGGGAAAGCAGTTTCCATAGTTACTGAGCTCAAGAGTGGAATGCTTGGCGATATTCTCACCTCCTCACTGAAGTCTTCTATCCTCAGTCTTGAATGACAGGGAAGCATATCGAGCTTATCTTTCAGTATTTAACCATCATGTAGAATATATGTACATACCTCTCACCCATAGAAAAACATTACACATTACTTTCCTCCCCACTTGCAGCTTAGAGGAGAACATTGCTCCCCTACTTATTCTTACCCTTAGAGATACGACACTCCATACAACGCCTTCTTTCCTCTTTTTGAGACCTTTTCTCACACAATTTCTATTTCCCTTAGAGACAATACGTTTTATAAACTTTCTTTTCTCTTAAAAGTAGATTTCTCTTAAACGTCTCTATATATCCCCCTACGCCCCTGTCTCTCCTTTCAAAGGTATATTATATCCAATACGCTTTCATTAGAGGTATATTTTACCCCATACACTTCTGTATCTCCCATCAGACTCACATAACGCCCAATAGTGCTCTAATAGCTTCAGTCAACGTTATATTTCACCCGATAGTTACCTATATCTTTCCTCAGAGGAATATTTCACCCTATACCCCTCTATATGTCCATTCAGAGGAATGTTTCACTTGATATGCTCGTGGTCATCCACAGGTCCAACCTGCCTGACAACCCCAACGTGTACTTCACACTCCTGAATGGCAACACCAGGGACGCCAACTCTGATGGAACCTTCGCTATCAGGTAAACATCAAGACTGCTATCATAAAGACTGCTATCATTAACACTGCTGTCACTAAGACTGCTATCACTAATACTGCTATCACTGAGACTGCTATCATTAAGACTGCTATAATTAAGACTTCTATCATTAAGACTGCTATTATTAAGACCGCTATCACTAAGACTGCTATCATTAAGACTGCTATCACTGAGACTGCTATCATTAAGACTGCTATCACTAAGACTGCTATCACTAAGAACGCTATCAGAAAGATTTCTATCATTAAGACTGCTATCATTAAGACTGCTATCATTAACACTGCTATCACTAAGACTGCTATCATTAAGACTGCTATCATTAACACTGCTGTCACTAAGACTGCTATCACTAATACTGCTATCACTGAGACTGCTATCATTAAGACTGCTATTATTAAGACCGCTATCACTAAGACTGCTATCACTAAGACTGCTATCATTAAGACTGCTATCATAAAGACTGCTATCACTTAGACTTTTATCATTAAGTCTGCTATCATTAAGACTGCTACCATCACGACTGTTACCATCACGACTGTTACCATCACGACTGCTACCATCACGACTGTTACCATCACGACTGCTACCATCACGACTGTTACCATCTCGAGTGCTACCATCACGACTGTTACCATCACGACTGATACCATCACGACTGTTACCATCACGAGTGCTACCTTCACGACTATCATCAAAACTGTTGTTTCTATTCTCTCTCGCCAGGACAAAATACTAACGAAGATAACGTTTCATTTGACTTGACAACGCTAATTATCTAAGCAATTATCTTGACAACGCTTGCTGGTGTTTTGATAACACCGTTTTTGACTCGACAGCTCTGCCACTTCCTCTTGACAGCGTTCGTAGCGTCTTGACAATTTTGTTATTGCTTTTGACAATTCTTCCTCTTTTTGACAACGCTGCTGTTATCACTGGACTTTCAACTGCTTCAGCAACGAAGTTTTTTTGGGGGGGACAAAGTTGTTTTAATTTCTCTTAACGCTGTTTACCTCAAGGGTATTAGAATATAAAGAAGGTGCAGAATGGGCTCTAGAAAATACTTCTTTGCCTTTAAGAAGACGTAATGGATGTCTTTAAGTAATCATAAAGTATCCAAATATATACAAAAATAACCCGCACATAGAGAAAGAAGCTTATGGCGAAGTTACGGTCCGATTTGGATCATTTACAAGTCACACTAACACACGAAGGTGAGAGAGCTGCTATATATAGGCGAGTGGGACGGACGAGACGTAGAGAGGAAGGTGGTGGAGGTAAATCTGATAGTGTAAGCAGTATTAGAAGTAGTGTTATTGTTACTTGTAAATGGTCCAAGTCGGACTGAAACGTCGTTGTAAGCTCCTTTTTCCTATGTCCGGGTTATTTGTATTGTTCCAGTCATGATATTATCTTTTTGTTTTTTGTTTTGTCAGTTCCGTGGGTCATCTCCCCTGGCAGTCCTGTCCCAGTTAGGTCTTAGATGCACGTCAGTGTGTTCCAGTCAAGAACAAGAAGGCATAATACCGTGACTGGAACAATAGGAGAGAGAAGTTTATGTCATCCTCCCCTTCGTGTGTTAGTGTGCCATGTAAATGGTCCACGTCGAACTGAAACGTGTAATGTGTTCTGGTCTAATTGATATGTCCAAGATGGACAAAAATGAATCCTAGGAGAACGAATATGTCTTAGTCTCTAAGTGTCCTTTTCCAGACATATTCTAATGGGATATTCAGTGTTTTTACTTAAGTCTTCGTCTCTCAGTATCTCACGCTTCTGTCTCTCCCACTCCACTGTTTCTGCCTGTGTGTGGTGGGATGGGGATGGTGACACAGACGGCTGCCTGAGGGGCGTGGGGCGTGTGGAGACACTGCAGGAGTCACTATCTTCGTAGCCACCAGGAACCTTGACTTCGAGAGCGTCCAGGCGTACAAGCTCAACCTGCAGATTGTGGTGAGCTGCCAGGCACGCGTGTGCGTGTGCGTGTGCGTGTACGTGTGCGTGTGTGTGTGTACGTGTGCTCGTGTGTGTTCATTATTTCTTCAGTGGTTGTTTTGCTGTCTTGTATACTGTCCATTTTTGTGTACGTTTTTGTAGATATGTGTGTTTCTTTTACAGGTATATATATATATAATATATATATATATAAATATATATATTATATATATTATATATATATTATATATATACATAAATATACTATATTAATATATTATATATATATATAATATATTATATATATATATATATATATATATATAATATAATATAAATAAATATATATATATATATATATATATATATTATATATATTATATAAATATATATATATATATATATATATATATATAATATATATAAGTGGTGTGTGTGTGTGGTGTGTGTAATCATAATAATTCTCTATTCTTCCCCTTCATTCCAACCGACCTCTTCTTCCTCTTAACTTCACTCCTTCTCAATTCTCTTCTACTTGTCTTTCTCTTCTTTCCACTCACTTCTACTTTTTGTCCTCGACTTATTTCTTACTCCTTTTCTATCCCTCTCCTTCACCTTTTCCACTTTCCCGTCCACCTTCTCCATTTCTTCCTTCACTGTCCCTTTCAACTTCATTTCCCCACTTGCTTCTTTCTCTTACTGTCTCCTTACTTTATTTCCAAAACTTTTCCCCTTTTTTTTTTTTTTGCTTTCCCGTTGCCACTCTCTTTACCCTTTTCTTATTACCACTTTCGCTCTATTCCCTAACTCTTCCTACTCCCTTGTCAAAACATTTCTTCTTACTGTTTACTGATGGCTTCCCTTCTTCCTCCCTTCGTGTCCCTCCCTTCCTCCCGGTGGTCGTCCCCCTCTCCCCCAGAACGACAGGAACGCCCGTCAGGAGAAGCAGGTTGTGGTGGATATCGTAGACGTGAACGACAATGCTCCGCTACTTCAACCCTTTGACGGAGCAGTACTGGAGAACACAGACAGTACTCTCATCACAACCATCCAAGCTCTCGACAAGGATGCATCTCCACGCTTCAGACAGGTTGGTGTAGAAGCTCGCTCTCTCTCTCTCTCTCTCTCTCTCTCACTCTCTCTCTCTCCTCTCCATCTCCTCTCTCTCCTCTCTCCTCTCTCTCTCTCTCTCTCTTCTCTCTCCTTCTTTCTCTCTCTCTCACCTCTACTCTCTCTCTCTCTCTCTCTCTCTCTCTCTCTCTCCTCCTCATCCTCTCTCTCTCTCTCTCTCTCTCTCTCTCCTCTCTCTCTCTTCTCTCTCTCTCTTCGTCCTCTCTCTCTCTCTCTCTCTCTGTCTCTCTCTCTCCTCTCTCATCTCTCTTCTCACTCTCTCTCTCTCTCATCATTCATTCATATATATATTATATATACACCGCCTGTTATCTGATTCGTTAATACCGTCTTGGTCGTCTCTTACTAAACTCGTTAGATTAATGTAATGAGGTGAATCAAATATAATTGAACCCTCCTTCAAATGTGTAATTCCTTCCTTCAGAAAATAACACTTATGCTCCCGGATGTAAAATCTGTAATTAATTCATCAGTCTTAAAGGGGATCATTAAAACGCGATTAATCTGCAGAATCATCCTCTTATTAAACCAGATTTTATCACAGGAATCCACTGACAAGGTGCCGTTTTTGTACAGAAATCAGGTGAATACTTTACCACAGTGTCTAACATTGTTACGCAAGTGTAACATTGCAGTTAATGTTAGAAACAGTCTCTGCTTAATTAACCTGTTGGTCAATATTTTTTGTGCTGTAATCGCGTGCCTGCCACGTCACTAGCAGACGGGGACTCGAGCCTTCACTTCGGCTGGCGCTTAATTGACCCCCACACGGGTTTACCTCTTCAGCGGAGTAACAGTGGTAATTAAAATATATCGGTTAATAATTTAAAGCTAAATTTAATTAAATCTTAACCATAACTAACATTTTTAACCCCTACACTCTGACTAATATCATAACGTCCATCATCCTGATTACGGATGATGGATGTGTCTAATTAAAATGATTAACCCATTTTGGTAATTAACTCTTATATTTGAATCGAGTCAAACTAACATTAGCTAATAAATAAAACAAATAACATGTTAGTTTGAAATTTGGAGGAGAGTCAGTTCGCGAAATAATCCCGTTTTGTGGCTCGCGAAAATCGTAATATAGCGATTGTAAATAATTTAATATCTGGTGGGTCTGGAGTAAGCAATTTACTAGCTACTGGGTCGAGTGTAAACAATTTACTAGCTACTGGGTGGAGTGTAAACGATTTACAGCTTGCTGGGTACTGCCAACAATATGCTGAAGATAGTCGTTGAAAAGCAAACTTTTAGTGGGACATTTCGCTCTGTTTAGAGCTTGAGTTTAGGTACGAATCGGTAAAGCTCTCTACAGAGAGAAACGTAACTTGATAAAGCTCTACACACGGCGAAAGTAATTTAAAAAAAATAGCTCTACAGGGAGCGAATTGTGACACTCTATATAGAGTGATGCAAAGCTATATGAGCCTCTACATAGAGCGAAACGTTGTCCCAGTAAAATCTTGATATGAGTAATGTTTATAAACGTTTCGAAGATGGTCACACAGATTTTTCGGTCTCGGTCGACAGCTGACGTACTCGTTCGACGCCACTGCCTCCCCAGACGTCATGACCAAATTTACTCTCAAGCCTAACGGGGAACTGTGGACCACGAAGCCGCTGGACCGCGAAGAAGAGAAGCAGTACCGTATTCCCATCCAGGTCACGGACGGAGTAGCAGGTGAGTGTCGTACGTGTTCTTATGTACGTACCTTCCGTCCTTACGGCCGGGTAGCTATAGGTGTAAAATGTATATACGTATGTGCTTGTTTGTGTGTAGCCTGTGTCCATGTATGTATACTTGTTCCTCTTTGTATACCCTCGTATACATACTTGACAGTCATACTTTAAATATGTCTCTGCGCATGTATTCATGTATGTATATATGTTTGTATCTGCCTCAGTTAATAGCTCTCCCAATACATGTGTCATTACGTGTTTCCTGTATCTTTTGCTGTATCAACGTCTGTACCCATCTGTAACATTTTGCAACTCGACTCGGGTATTCACTTACAAACTCCCCCCTCCCCCAAAATACCCAAAAACCCAAACAAACAAACCCACCCATCTATTCATCTCCCTCAAAACCCACAGTCCTTTCTATCCCATCCAAGAGAAGAATAATGGGTAACAATACCGTGGCTGGAACAAATTACAAATAACCCGCACCTGGGAGACGAAATTCATGGATAGACGCTTCAGTTCGTCCTCAACCCAGGACTAAAAACAAAACACAGATTTTTATAGGGAAATTTATTTTAATCCACCTGCTCACCAACCTCAGAATAAATCATTCTGCTTCTGGTAGAACACGAGAGGATGACCATCTACTGGATAACGGTCCAAGACCTGAACGACGTGCCTCCAGAACTGGATGCTGCTCTTGGAGTATACGAGGTCCAGTTGCCGGAAAACAGAGAGGTGGGCAAGCCCACTGGAATCCACCTTATGGTCACGGATCCTGATATCGGTGAGCTACGTAACAAGTCTCGCGCATTTGTATTTATAATTTACTCTCAATTAAGCTGTCTATAAATTCTTATCGATAGTTTTTCCATAAGTATTCGTTTATTTTTATTATTTTTGGAGTCAATTCTTCTTTGTTACTTTCCACATGAGCCTTAAAGTGGAAGTGGCCTTAACACTGGTACTGTCCTTGGCACTGACCGTGTCACTGTTTGGGTCCACAGTGAATCACTTCACCTACCAGATTGTCGAGGGAAACGATGAACGTAAATTTCGGATCGACTCGTCGACGGGGGATGTACTGGTCAATAAACCACTCGACTACGATCATCCCGTAGTCGATAGAAATGTAAGTGTTACTAATTATTTTTTAACCTCTTTGTAGCTGTAGGAGCAGAGCTACGCTCGTGCTGTCGCATCTTCAGCTCTATCTTAACCATATATTTGTTTTTAATGATTAATAATTCGCAAACAGGCGAAATTATCTACAAACATTATCTCTACGTCCACATCAGGGTTGGCTCCGTGGTGAAATAGTGTGTACGCTGATACAGAGTTTTCAGGTTCGAGTCCTGCTGTGGAAGTAAGGATAATGTTTGCAATTTTTTTTATAAATTTCCAATGTGTGTGTACTCACCTATTTGCACTTAAATACTTGTAGTTGAAGGGGTCAAAACGTAGCTCCTGGTCCCTCCTCTGGCCATTACAAGGTCCACATTCTCCCTACTCCAAGAAAAGTGTGTGTGTGTGTGTACTCACCTATTTGTACTCACCTATTTGTGGTTGCAGGGGTCGAGTCATAGCTCCTGGCCCCGCCTCTTCACTGATTGCTACTAGGTCCTCTGTCTCCCTGCTCCATGAGCTTTATCATACCTCGCCTTAAAACTATGTATGGTTCCCGCCTCCACTACTTCACTTTCTAGGCTATTCCACGGCTTGACTACTCTATGACTGAAGAAATACCTCCTTACATGTGTGTGTGTGTGTGTGTGTGTGTGTGTGTGTGTGTGTGTGTTGTGTGTGTGTATGTGTGTGTGCGTGTGTGTGTGTGTGTGTCTGAGTGTGTTTGTGTGTCTGTGTGTGTACATTTAAATTAATAAATAACAAAAAGGCACAATACCGTGACTGGAACGATACACAAATAACCCGCACATAAAAGAGAGAAGCTTACATTTAAATTATCTGAGTGTTTTATATATGAGACAGTAAGCCTGATATAGTTCACCAGTCAATAAGCCAGATAAAAAGCAGCTTATCGAAGAAAAAACCCCATCCACAGCTTCACTCAAAAGTACGACCCATTCAACACTCTCAGCTTCTTAGAAAATAAAGAGAAAATTACCAACTTAACTTTCTCTGGATTTACTTTCCCCAGAAAGTAAAGATTTCTTCACACAATAGCACAAAAAAAGGGTGAAAAAGAAAAGGGAGATTAGGAGCTTTCACCATGTAAGAGAATTATACTGGAAAAAAGCATAAAAAAATAATACTAATAGTAACGCAGAAATAATACTAATAGTAACGCAGAGAACGAGAATGAAAACTGTGATAGTGGTAGTAATGATAGTGAATATGAAGGTCATAAAGAGAATAACAGTGTCAATGATGATTGTGAGGGGGGGGGTGAGGAGAGGAGGGATGTACAGTGTACCTTTAACGTGTAGATAATCAGAAACAGTCGCAGTCTTGCATTAAACTGAGTGCTGCTGTTGAAGGTGAGAGAAGAGGGATCCCAGGTACACCTCAACTGTGATTGTGACGTGACTGAGAGTGACAGAGTTTGTTAACTTGAACGTCTATCAACTCTTGTAATAAGGTTTAAATTCGTCTGAAAGCTAACATCAAGAATACTTAAATTCCTAACTTTCAGGCTACACATATACACATACACAGACACACACACACATACACAGACACACACACACACACACACACACACACACACACACACACACACACACACACACACACACACACACACACACACACACACACACACACACACACGCAAACACAAGTATACACAATTAATATTATATAGTATATATTAGTGTATATTAATAAGGAATTGATTGTGAACAAAATTTTATAATCTTCAAAAGAGTAGCGTAGCCTAGTGTGCGCACGCACACCCATACACCCATAACACCCACACACACCCACACACATCCACACAGCGATGTAGTGGAGGCAGGATCCATACATAGCTTTAAGCAGAGTATGATAAAGCTCACGGCTCAGGGAGAGTGACCTAGTAGCGATCAGTGAAGAGGCGGGGCCAGGAGCTCGGACTCGACCCCCGCAACCTCAACTAGGTCAACTAGGTGAGTACACACCCACACACACCCACACACACCCACACACACACCCACACACACCCACCCACACACACACCCACACACACACACACACACACACACACACACACACACACACACACACCCACCCACACACACAACACACACACACACACACACACACACACACACACACACACACACACACACACACACACACACACACACACACACACACATAACAACACACACACACACGCAACACACACACAACACACACACACACACACACACACACACACACACACACACACACACACACACACACACACACACACACCACACACACACACACACACACACTAACACACACACACACACGCAACACACACACACACACACACACACACACACACACACACACACACACACACACACACACCACACACACACACACACACACACACACACACACACACACACATTGCCAGACTCACACATACACTCCCCCCTCCCCCACCGACATCTCACTCCTTCACCTGATCCCTCCCCTCCCTCTTTCACCCTCCCCCTCCCCACCTCACCCTCCTTCCCCCTCTCCCTCTCCCACTCACCCACTTACTTCACTCTCCTTCCCACTCCCCCTCCCCTTTACTCTCCCACATAGCCACAGTTCCTCCTCTACCTCCCCCCCCACACTCTGACATACACAATACTAACCTAACATACAGAATTACATAGGTTTCCCACTCTAAGGCAATCAGGATAAAACAAAAATGGGTTGCCAGAGAGCAACAAGAAAAACCAAGGGACAGGAGGAGGAAACTGCAAAGGAAGATTGGGCAGCAGAGCTCACAAAAAGGGAACATGAATGGGAAAAGAAACTAGAAGAACTTAGCATGAGAATGGAAGAGAGGATAGACATGGAAAGCAGGAAGTGGGAGGTGCAAGTCAAAGCAGCAGAGGCCAGGATACAGAGTTTAGAAGAGGAACTGAAAAATCTGAAACAGCCTAAAGAACTAAAGAACATTTTGGGATTGACAACAGAGACTGCTACCTCAGTCACAAGTAAGGGGACTGTAGGGAAAGAAGGAGCAAAACTGCATGTAGAAGCTCAATCAGTGGAGACTGTAGTAAATGAAAGAGCTAAGCTATATGTGGAGGCCCTAACAGACCACAGCAGAGCCCATGGAAAGCCGAGAAGGGAAAATGACAGGCCACTGAGCCCAAGTACATTAGCTAGTGAAACTGAAGAAAGGAAAGCTGCAATGGAGGAAATCAAATTGAATGAGGGGATACACAGGGATATGCAGTGGGAGAATGAAAGGGTGAGGTCATCTTTGTGTATGGTGCTCCAGGAAGTTGAAGGGGAAACATATGAAGCAAGAAAACAAGGAGAAAAAAAAGCAATTGAAAGCATCATGAAAGCAATAGGAGAAAACGACATGACCCAGCTGGAAAATTTTCGGAGAATAGGGGGGTTTGTAAAAAAAAGAACACGGCCAGTGAAAGTGACCTTCAAGGCAGAATCGACTCGGAACAGGATCCTGCAGGAGAAAGCACGATTAAGGGACATGCCGGCATACAGGAAAGTGTATCTCGACCGCGACAGAACACAAGCAGAAAGGCAGAAACAGAGAGAGATGGTACAAAGGCGAAAGGAGGAAAGAGAGGGGATGGACAAGACAGACAGGAGATCCCAGACACAGAAACATCAAATACAGCCTCCCTCACAACTTCCTATAGAAGCCTCCCAACCAGGTCAACCCCAGTGCAACCAAACACTCTAAACCAAAACACCCATGCCACATCCAATGCCCCCACCCACAGCATTACAAACTCCACCCCCACAGCAACCACCCATAGTTCCTTATCAGGTCTCCCACTTCCCCAACCCCAATACACCTCCCAGACCACAATCTTAGAAAAGAAGTTGAAGGTGTGGTATACAAATGCAGATGGAATAACAAATAAGTATGAGGAGTGGCACGAAAGAATCAAGGAGACATCCCCAGACATAATAGCACTCACAGAAACAAAACTCACCAGAATAATAAAAGATTCAATCTTTCCATCCGGATATCAAATCCTCAGGAAAGACAGAGGGAGGAGAGGGGGAGGAGGAGTTGCACTGCTCATTAAAAACCAGTGGGGGGTTGAGAAAATGGAAGGAATGGACATAAGGGACATAAGGTGATAATTGCAGTAATGTACAAACCCAGCACAGAACTGCAGGCCAAGAGAAGAATACGATGAGAGCAACTGAGCAATGGTCGACACACTAGCCGAGGTGGCCAGGAGAGCACACATGGGGGGAGCAAAGTTACTAGTTATGGGTGATTTCAATCACAAGGAGATTGACTGGGAAAACCTGGAGCCCCATGGGGGTCCCGAAACATGGAGAGCCAAGATGATGGATGTGGTTACTGGAAAACCTCATGCATCAACATGTTAGAGACACTACCAGAGAGAGAGGAGAGGATGAACCAGCAAGACTGGACCTTGTATTCACCTTGAGTAGTTCTGACATCGAGGATGTCATGTATGAAAGGCCCCTGGGAGCTAGTGATCATGTGGTTCTGTGCTTCGACTACATAGTTGAGCTCCAAGTGGAGAGAGCAGCAGGAATAGGCTGGGAAAAACAAACTACAAAAGGGGGAATTACTCAGCTTGAGGAACTTCTTTCAAACATTCAGTGGGAGAGGGAACTGACAAGAAAACCAGTACAAGAAATGATGGACTATGTGGCAACAAAATGCAAGGAGGCAGAGGAGAGGTTTGTTCCCAAGGGAAACAGAAATAATGGGAAGAACAGAACGAGTCCTTGGTTCACCCAAAGGTGTAGGGAAGCAAAAACTAGGTGTACTAGAGAATGGAAAAGGTACAGAAGACAGAGAACTCAGGAAAATAAAGAGATTAGCCGAAGAGCCAGAAACGAATATGCACAGATAAGAAGGGAGGCTCAGCGGCAATACGAAAATGACATAGCATCGAGAGTAAAGACTGACCCGAAGCTGTTGTACAGCCACATCAGGAGGAAAACAACAGCCAAGGACCAGGTAATCAGACTGAGGAAGGGTGATGGGGAATTCGCAAGAAACGACCGGGAGGTATGTCAGGAGCTCAACACAAGATTTAAAGAAGTATTTACAGTGGAAACCAGTAGGACTCCAGGAAATCAGGGCAGGGGGGTGCACCAGCAAGTGCTGGATGAGGTACATATAACCAAGGAGGAGGTGAAGAAGCTGCTATGCGAACTTGACACCTCAAAGGCGGTGGGACCAGACAACATCTCTCCGTGGGTCCTTAAAGAGGGAGCAGAGACATTGTGTGTACCATTAACAAAGATCTTCAACACATCATTTGAAACTTGGTAACTCAGAGGTATGGAAGATGGCAAATGTAGTCCCAATTTTTAAAAAGGGAGACAGACATGAGGCACTAAACTACAGACCTGTATCACTAACGTGTATAGTATGCAAGGTCATGGAGAAGATCATCAGGAGGAGAGTGGTGGAGCACCTGGAAAGAAACAAGTGTATAATTGACAACCAGCATGGTTTCAGGGAGGGAAAATCCTGTGTCACAAACCTATTAGAGTTTATGACAGGTGACAGAAGTAAGACAAGAGAGAGAGGGGTGGATCGACTGCATTTTTTTGGACTGCAAAAAGGCCTTCGACACAAGTTCCTCACAAGAGGTTACTGCAAAAGCTAGAGGATCAGGCACACATAACAGGAAAGGCACTGCAATGGATAAGAGAATACCTTACAGGGAGGCAACAACGAGTCATGGTACGTGACGAGGTGTCAAAGTGGGCGCCTGTGACAAACGGGGTTCCACAGGGGTCAGTCCTAGGACCTGTGCTGTTCTTTGCATATGTGAATGACATAACGGAAGGGATAGACTCAGAATGTTCCTTGTTTGCGGACGATGTGAAGTTAATGAGAAGAATCAAATCGGATGAGGATCAGGCAGGACTACAAAGAGACCTGGACAGGCTACAAGCCTGGTCCAGCAACTGGCTCCTTGAGTTTAACCCCACCAAATGCAAAGTCATGAAGATTGGGGAAGGGCAAAGAAGACCACAGACACAATATAGTTTAGATGGCCAAAGTCTGCAAACCTCACTCAAGGAAAAAGATCTGGGGGTGAGTATAACACCGAGCATATCTCCTGAGGCGCACATCAAGGAGTCGTTCAAGGCTCTGTATACCATTTACGTCAGGCCCATACTGGAGTATGCAGCACCAGTTTGGAATCCACACCTAGTCAAGCACGTCAAGAAATTAGAGAAAGTGCAAAGGTTTGCAACAAGACTAGTCCCAGAGCTACGGGGATTGTCCTACGAAGAAAGGTTGAGGGAAATCGGCCTGACGACACTGGAGGCCAGGAGGGTCAGGGGAGACATGATAACGACATATAAAATACTGCGCGGAATAGACGAGGTGGACAAAGACGGGATGTTCCAGAGATGGGACACAGACACAAGAGGTCACAATTGGAAGTTGAAGACTCAGATGAATCAAAGGGATGTTAGGAAGTATTTCTTCAGTCATAGAGTAGTCAAGCCATGGAATAGCCTAGAAAGTGAAGTAGTGGAGGCGGGAACCATACATAGTTTTAAGGCGAGGTATGATAAAGCTCATGGAGCAGGGAGAGAGAGGACCTAGTAGCAATCAGTGAAGAGGCGGGGGCCAGGGAGCTATGACTCGACCCCTTCAACCACAAATAGGTGAGTACAAATAGGTGGTACGCACACACTCACACACACAAAAACACCACACACAACCACACACACACACACCCCACCACAACACACACACACACACACACTCACACACACACACATAAATATATATGTCGTGCTGAATAGGTAAAACTCGTCAATGAGCAACAACTCGTTTAATATTAAATCCTTTCCAAAATTTTCTCATGTACGTTTAAAGATATATTTTTTCATTTATGTTAATGTAAAAATTAATAATTTTGTACCAAAAGAACCTCAGAAAACTTGCTTGACCTTATTATAACAAGCGCAATTTAATTTAGCCTAATCCAACTAAATATATTTTAGATAAGTTTACAATTTAATAATAAACAAAGTGAAATACAATTTTTTTCGTTAGGTTTAGAATGATTTTTGCGAAATTATTGCAAACCTAAATTTTCGCTTGCCTTATTCGGCAAGAAGAGCGTTGCTATTTAAGCCAAAATCGCAAGTTTTACCTATTCTGCATTTAGCTAGAATAAACTATGAAACACGCATTTCGCTGAATATACAGTGAGAGACACCTCAGTGTATATACACTGTGCTCCACTGATTTTGACTTGTGACTGAAAACCCCAGCTGTAAGACGTGGTGGTGACGTCACAGGCTCATCTTGACTGTGATTGCAGGCAGCACGAGAAGTCTTAAGCAAATATCTGAGAATTTTGAGAGACACAAAAATTGACCTTTACATTGCTCAGTAAATCTTCCCCGTGTCGGCGGCCTTGAAGAGCTAGTTCCCCATACAGGAATTTTGTGTATAATGAACAAAATGCATTCTAACTAGCTGTACAACTTTATATATATATATATTTTATTATATATTATATATATATATATATTATATTTATATATATATATATTATATATATTTATATATATTATATTATATTTTATTTAAAATATATATATACTAATCGTGAACAATTAAAATGACTACGGAAGGAGTCGAATGATTGCTCTAAAAAGTTTCATGTTGCAGTCAACACATCAGGAGTTTTGATGTGTTACAGAAAATGAGTACGAAGTCCAGATAGTTTCGTTGAGGGGAACTATTCTAGCTAGAATGTTTCCCTAAATCAAAATACTTGGACTTGGAAATTTTACTCATTTTATAACATTGCAAGCTCTGATGATGTTCTGATTGCAATTCGAAAGGCCTAGAGTATCATTCAAAATTCCCCTTTTTGTTCTTTTGCACACATACACACGCATATAAAATATTTATATATATTTTATATATATATATATATATATATATATATATATATATATATTATATTTTATAATATATATATAACGAGTGGGTGTATGTATTTGTATTTATACACTGAGCGTTTACTTTAATCATTATTTAAGGGATTAAAGTAATCCTGACTGGTGCTGAAAAGGCGACATGCAGTCTTTGTGATCCTCGTGTAGTCGAAAAACATTAAATCCAATTAGCCACCCAACTCATTGTACATGCTGGCCCATCCTGTAGTTGCGAGGTGAGAACTGCGCTGCATAAACTACGGCCTTAATGGAAGCATAGCAAGCTTCCATTATGACAAAATTTCTCTTTGCGGAACTTTGTAAGACTTAACATTCTTATTATAATGGGGAGCACGAAACCCGTAGAGATTACGCAGTGCTTGTGAGGGGAAGGAAGGAGGGTTGTAAGGCATTCAGGCTTGATTCAGGGAATTGGAGCACAGATATAATTCGCTAGATCAACATCCCCGTACCAGTATCAAGGAACCTCCCTTGAGCTGATAAAACTTTACGGAGAGCGAAACGTTGTCACACCAATAGCTTTTCATTCAACTGTCTTTTCTCCAACGTTGTTGGAAATACACCTCAGCATGTATATATATATATATATATATATATGTGTGTGTGTGTGTGTGTGTGTGTGTGTGTGTGTGTGTGTGTGTGTGTGTAACCCAGCGTAGTATTTCATAGCTCTGATATGAATGCGTCTTCGTAGTTGCAGAATACCAGTTCTGCCATACCCGTACACTACTTGTACAGACAGTATGAGCAGTTTTCACGTATTCGATTTCAGAAGTCTGATGCAAGTGAAATGTTACGACAATAAACGTAACCAAGTATTGTGCATGTCTTATTGTATACAAATCAGTAATATAATTCTAACTCTCTACTAATTCCCATTTATCCCCATTACTTCCAACCGTAACCCATCGGATTCCTTCCCTCTCCCCCACATCCCCTCCTCCTCACCCTTCACATCACAGTTCACGATGCGAGTTCGCGTGAGTGACGGGAACAACGCTCCAGCGGAGGCGGACATCACCATAGCCGTAGCCAATGTCAACGACCTTCAACCCGTCTTTGAGAAAGCTAACTACACGTTCACCGTGACAGAGAACACAGATTGCTCCATCATCCTTGGCAAGGTCAGGAAATATTGCAGTCCAGAGGGGAAGGCAAGTCAGGTATACAATCTAAACACTCCAGAGAGGGGGCAGGTCAGGTATAAACACTCCAGAGAGGGGGCAGGTCAGGTATAAACACTCCAGAGAGGGGGCAGGTCAGGTATAAATAGTTCAGAGGGGAAGACAGGTCAGGTATAAAATAGTTTAGACAAAGGGGAAGGCAGGTCAGGTATAAAATAGTTTGTCCAGAGGGGAAGGCAGGTCAGGTATAAAATAGCTAGTCCAGAGGGGAAGGCAGGTCAGGTATAAAATAGTTAGTCCAGAGGGGAAGGCAGGTCACGTATAAAATAGTTAGTCCAGAGGGGGGCAGGCCAGGTATAAAATAGTTAGTCCACAGGCAAAAATAAGAGACAAGGTTGGAGTAAAATAGATGCAGGTTAGGAGAATGATAAACCCAGCCAGGATGAGGGTACATATAGGCTTAGGGAAGGATAGGTGTACGATATATACAGGCCTAGGGAAACAGATTCAGGCCTGGGAAAGAATGATTCAGGCCTGTAAAAGGATAGGCTTAGACCAGGGTAAGCTTGGAACATCCCTGGGTAAGGATAGTGCTTGGCCTAGGGAAGGAAATGTACAGACCTAGAAAAGAATAGATACAGAACAGAGAAATAATTACACAAAGGAAGAGAAAGGATAGGTAATAGTAAGAGGAAGACAAGCACTGCCCAGGAGGATAGCACGGGAACAGGAAATGACTATGGTTTAGAAAAGAAGGTAGAAAAAAGGGGAAAAAGGGTAGAATTCGAGAGAAATGTGTAAAGGAAGGAAGGGGAGGAGATGGAAATGGTGTGAAAGTGAGAGAAACAGGTAGAGATGGGGAAAGGAAGGCAGGGAAGAAAATGTGGAGAATGAATATGCAAAAGAGAGATAAATAGTAGAATTATGAATGAGGAAAGTGGTAGAAAGGGAGGGGAGGGTATACAATAATTTTGTTTTAATATATATATATTTAATTATATATAAATATATAAATATATATAATTTATATATATATATTATATATAAATTATATATATATATATATAATATTATATATATATATATTATAATATATATATATATATATTTTATATATTTATATATATATAAAAAAAGCATTGCAGCTATTTTGCTATTTTTTGAACATTCAGGTATCAGCGCTGGACCCGGATCTTCCACCCACAGCCAATCAGAATATTCTCTACTACCTCTCACCAGCCGAACTCGGGAAATTTTTCCCCAAATAAACGACCGGTCGGGTCAACTCACCATGAAAGGGGTAAGTTAAGGGTTTACTTATGCTACACTTACGGGTTGTTTGCTACTGTCATGTTTGTTGTCTTGAGTATATCTTGTTACGATCTTCCTGTGTGTTTGTGTGGGTGTTTTGTGTGTGGGGTTGGTGTGTGTGTGTGTGTGTGTGTGTGTGTGGGGTGTGTGTGTGGGGTGTGTTGTGTGTGTGTGTGTGTGTTTCAGTTTTGTTTTTTTTAAACTACTGGAATTATTTGCTCTATTTTCCTCTATGCATATTTTAGCAAATTCGTTTTTTCTCTGATAATTCCCCAGCCAATCTTTCTTTACCTTGTTCAGCTAAAGTTTCCTCGAGATTGTCCCTTTAGAGAACTGCCTTGATGATGGTGAAGCTCTTAATCCTTGGAACAGGAGCTGTCCTCTTCCTGGGATTAAACTTGATTGCCTCTCGTTTCCAAGAGCTTGAATGACCCATAAGAGTTTAGATTTTTCTGTTAATAGGTCTGAATATAGATTCCATTTTTCTCTCTCTCGTTGTATGCATACACGAAACGTGCGTGTGTGTGTGTGTGCTCACCTGTTTGTAGTTGCAGGGGTCGATACTCAGCTTCTGGCCCCGCCTCTTCACTGACAGCTACTAGGACCTCTCTCTCCTTCCTCCATGAGCTTTATCATACCTCGTCTTAAAACTGCTTATGATTCCTGCCTCCACTACGTCACTTTGTGTGTGTGTGTGTGTGTGTGTGTGTGTTTGTGTACACGTTAGAGATATAAAGGGGAGAGGTTGCTGGGTTGTGCAGTCATGGTGATGGGTGGCGTTTTATCCCTTAAATGCATTAGTGAGACGATTTCTGGACCTGATAGGTTTGTGGAGTGGTGTGTATGTATGTGTGTGTGTATGTATGTGTGTGTGTATGTATGTGTGTGTGTACCTGCCCTACTCACACATCACCTCTTCCTTCTCTTCTCCTGTTTTTTCTCTCCCTCCCTCCCTTTATTACCCCTCCTTCCTTTCCAATCTTTTTTCTCCTCTCCCCCTATCTCCTCTCAATCAGCTATCACTTAGGCATAGGCACCCCTGAAGAGCTCTTACCAGTGTCTTTGATCCTCTGGTAATTCACTCACTCATTCACCCACTCACAAACACTCTTTCACTCTCTCACTAGCCTATTCACTTGCACGCTCTCTCTTCTCTCCTCTCTTCTCTCTTCTCTCTGTCTTTTCTCTCTCTCTCTCTCTCTCTCTTCTTTTCTTCTCTCCTTCTCTCTCTCTCTCTCTCTCCTAGTCCTCCTTGGATGATGCCTTTGGTTCGTTTTGAAGGCAGTGGATTGTGATCCCTATGTATCGAGCCCCGGTAATGACCCTGGATAATTTCCTGGAACATAAGTTGGCTGATGCTTCAAGACTTAAGGTCTGTACTGACAGCCAGAAAGCGAGGGAGGTGTTCGCCTTTGCTGTCATCACTCCTGAGGACTCTTAGTGTGTACAGCTAGTATGAGAGTCCTTTGTGCTCACTGCGGAGCTCTCTACAGTCCTCGTTGCTCTTGGCTTGATAGATGGCTTACAGTAGTTTATTGTGTACCCAGATTCCCAGTGCGCTTCCGTCCACCCTGTGGTGTAAAAGATCCAGGAGTGGCTAGCTCGCCTCAACACGCGGCACGAGGATGTGGAGCTATGTTGGTTCCCTAGCAGCCATGTTGGTGTCCGAGACATGTTGTTACGAAAGTAACTATTTTGGTGCCGGAGCCATGTTTGTACCCGAGCAACCATGGTGGTGCTGCCTAAGCCATGTTGTTACTTGAGCAGGCATGTTGGTGCCTGCGTCATGTTGTTTCCCGAGCTACAGCTTGGGAAATGAACAGGCGAAGGCTATAATAAGAGGCTTTTACAATGATTTTATTGGTCATATCCACACACACGTCCTTGGGAAGTGGCGAGACCGATGGGGTCTACAGACTAGCAGAAAGTAATACAGGGTTTGACTGGAGCGTTTGGTCGTCCTCCTTCAACAAGAGTCGTCATTTTGAGACTAATCTCTGTCGACTGAGGATTGGACACACAACCTCGTTTATAAACACCGGTTCACCAGTGTTCCTGTTCCTCCTTGTTCACAGCTTAGGCTTCTCTGCCTTCGTCATGACTTTTTTAATTACTGAGGAGCCTACAGGGACCTCGGGGGACTTTTAAGGAAGTCATCTGACATCAATAATACAAAAGGTGATTATAACTTATGCTGGCTATTTTAACTAGGTATGATAGTATTTATTTGTGTTTTTATTCATGTTCGTTGTTTTTATTCTTTTCTTGCTTTAGCTTTGTTTTTACTGTATGTATTGTATACCATGACTTTGTATTGGTACGAGTGTTGGTTGAATTACAAGGTAAAAATGCTTTATAAATATCGAAGCATCTTTCTCTCACAGTGCCTGGACAGGGAGGCAGCTCTACGTGGCACGATGACCCTCTACCCCAGGGCCAATGATGAAGGTGGGAAAGGTCACGACGCTGACCCCGCCACCGTCCAGGTCATCATCAATGACCTTAACGACAACTATCCACACTTCATCAAACCAGTAAGTCCCGCTGACCTTTTAACCATATGCAAGGTTGAATTTATATATAATATATATATTATATATATATATATATATATATATATATATATGTAAATTTAAAATATATATATATATATATATATATATATATATATATATAATTTCTTTTTTTTTTAACAAAGAGCATTTTTTTTTCTTTGATTAAAGACCGTGGAAAAGCAAACCATTTAATATATTTCCCATCCTTCCAAGAGAACGTTATTTTTACTGGAATTAAAGGCCATGGAAGTGTTTTATCATTTTTTTGCGTTAAAGCTAGACTTTGCTGCGTAAGTGACAATAACATACACAAAAAGCCTTGCGAAAAATTCGTCTAAGAGAATATAGTATCTTAGGAGAGGTACAATATACCAGTCGTGAAATACCATAGTAACAATGGTTAAATGACCATTTAATTTTTTAAGGGGTGGACCGGTAAGCCCGGGAAGCTCGTCAGATGACCCAAAGTTTCCCAAAACGGGCCCTCATTGACTAAGACCCGTAGGAAACATTTGTCCTGTTCCTGACGAACCTTACCTACCTAAATAACAGTCGTGAAAAAGGGTCGTGGTTTTAAAATTAGTTAACCCGTTCAGTTTGATACTGTATACAGTAAAACACATGTGCAACATTGGTATCTTTATTTCGAAACGTTCGCTACACAGTAGGCTTCTTCAGTCGGTACAGAAAGTTGTAGAGCAAAGAGACTTTAAGACGATGTAACACTATCGGTATTTTAAACCCTTTTAATGTTATTTTGTAACAGGGAAGAGTTCAGGTAACGACTTCCGAACTTTGAGTTTTGGGTGTTTCAAGTGCAGTGACTGCATATTGCAGTCTGTTGTGAATGCTGCGTCGGTGAGTCAATATTGGTTCATAATGTACGAGTTTCCTCTGGAAGAGTGCTAGAGACTGAATGATGTGAGTGGACTTTTTTAGGGGGGGGATTCTTCTCTGGGTCGTCCTGCAATGTGTTGGTTGACGCATGACTAAAAAAATATATTAATTCTTTCTCCCCTTTTCTCTTCTCTCTCTCTCTCCTGTCTCCCCGGCAGGAACAGAGTTACGCCAGGATCCTGGAAAACCTGGAGCCAGAGTTTGTTGGAACCTGTGATCATTGAACTCGGGGACCTGGACAGCGAGATGAATGGGTGTCCGTGTTCCCTTGAGTTCCACGCGCACACTCCCAAACACATCAGGGACAAGTTCTCACTCACACCCATGGAAAAGTGAGTACACAATCCAGATCTTGAGTAATATAGATTTGCACTCGGGCGTTGGCAGGGGTGAGTACATACTCCAGATTTTGAGTTACAAGGTATGAGGTATGCTTATCTCAACGGAGGATAAGCAAACCTTCAAGGCTGAGATATCAGCATTTATAGCTAAGTGAAGAGTGAAGATGCGCTACAATATATAAGAACAGTAGCACAAGACTGGGTACAGCGGTACAATATAGTACAGTGACACAAGTTGTACAATAAGTGTTAGGAAAGCACTGTTATCTTGTGAAATAATGTACTTGTATAATGTATTCCACTCGGCTAGATGGTGTTCGATCCCTTATGAAACATTACTAACCCATTGGAATTACATATATCATGGCGTGCGTCCTGATCCGAGGATTTAGAGCACCCTTTAGATCAAGCCTGATGACTTCCCGTATTGTCCTCTCTATTTTTTTCTCTCTCTCTGTGGTCCCGGGCCAGGTCCCGGTACAGACTGAGCCCCGTGACGGTATTGGACCGGGAGCAGCGCAAGGTGTACCGGCTTCCCTTCACGGCCCGGGACACCCGGGGCCTGGCAGGTACACGGTACCTAACACTGGAGGTCGCTGATGAGAATGATTCTCCCATGACTGATGGGGAGAGTACCATCAAGGTGTACAACTACCAGGTGAGTCCCCCTCTACTGCCAGGTGAGTCCCCCTCTACTGCCAGGTGAGTCCCCCTCTACTGCCAGGTGAGTCCCGCCTCTACTGCCAGGTGATTCCCTCTCTACTGCCAGGTGAGTCCCCCTCTACTGCCAGGTGATTCCCTCTCTACTGCCAGGTGAGTCCCGCCTCTACTGCCAGGTGAGCCCCCCTCTACCCGCCAGGTGAGTCCCCCTAACTACCAGGTGAGTCCCCTCTACTGCAGGTGAGTCCTCCTCTACTGCCAGGTGAGTCCCCCTCTCTATCCCAGGAGTCCTCCCTCTACTGACAGGGGAGTCCCCCCTCTACTACCTCGTGAGTCCCCCTCTGCTATCAAGCGAGTCCTCCCTCTTACCCGCCTATTCGTGTTCCCCCCTCTACTACCTGGTGAGTCCCCCTCTACTACCTGGTGAGTCCCCCTCTACCCCCTGGTGAGCCCCCTCTACTACCAGGTGAGTCCCCCTCTACTACCTGTGAGTCCCCCTCTGCTACCTGGTGAGTCCCCCTCTACTACCTGGTGAGTCCCCCTCTACTACCAGGTGAGTCCCCCTCTACTACCTGGTGAGTCCCCCTCTACTACCAGGTGAGTCCCCCTCTACTACGGTGAGTCCCCCTCTACTACCTGGTGAGTCCCCCTCTACTACCTGGATAGTCCCCTCTACTACCTGGTGAGTCCCCCTCTACTACCAGGTGAGTCCCCCTCTACTACCTGGTGAGTCCCCCTCTGCTACCTGGCGAGTCCCACTCTACTACCTGGTGAGTCCACTCTACTACCTAGGTGAGTCCCCCTCTACTTTAGCTTAAATGGTGAGTCCCCCTCTACTACCTGGTGAGCTCCCCTCTACTACTGGTGAGTCCCCCTCTACTACCTGGTGAGTCCCCCTCTACTACCTGGTGAGTCCCCCTCTACTATTGTGAGTCCCCCTCTACTACCTGGTGAGTCCCCCTCTACTACCGGTGAGTCCCCCTCTACTACCATGGTGAGTCCCCCCTACTACCTAGTGAGTCCCCTCTACTACCTGGTGAGTCCCCTCTACTACCAGGTGAGTCCCCCTCTACTACCTGGTGAGTCCCCCTCTACTACCTGGGCGATCCCCCTCTACTACTGGTGAGTCCCCCTCTACTACCAGGTGAGTCCCACTCTACTACCTGGTGAGTCCCCCTCTACTACCAGGTGAGTCCCACTCTACTACCTGGTGAGTCCCCTCTACTATCCCGGTGAGTCCCCCTCTACTACCTGGTGAGTCCCCCTCTACTACTGGTGAGTTCCCCTCTACTACTTGGTGAGTCCCACTCTACTACCTGGTGAGTCCCCCTCTACTACCAGGTGAGTCCCACTCTACTACCTGGTGAGTACCACTCTACTACCTGGTGAGTCCCCCTCTACTACCTGGTGAGTCCCCCTCTACTACCTGGTGAGTCCCCCTCTACTACCTGGCGAGTCCCCCTCTACTACCTGGTGAGTCCCCCTCTACTACCAGATGAGTCCCCCTCTACTACCTGGTGAGTCCCCTCTACTACCAGGTGAGTCCCCCTCTAATACTGGTGAGTCCCCCTCTACTATCTGGTGAGTCCCCCTCTACTACCTGGTGAGTCCCCCTCTACTACCTGGTGAGTCCCCCTCTAATACCAGGTGAGTCCCCCTCTACTACCTAGTGAGTCCCTCTCTACTACCTGGTGAGTCCCCCTCTACTACCAGGTGAGTCCCCCTCTACTACCTGGTGAGTCCCCCTCTACTACCTGGTGAGTCCCCCTCTATTACCGGTGAGTCCCCCTCTACTACCAGGTGAGTCCCCTCTACTACCAGGTGAGTCCCCCTCTATTTCCTGGTAAGTCCCCTCTCTACTACCTGGTGAGTCCCCCTCTACTACGGTGAGTCCCCCTCTACTACCTGGTGAGTCCCCCTCTACTACCTGGTGAGTCCCCCTCTACTACCTGGTGAGTCCCTCTCTACTACCAGGTGAGTCCCCCTCTACTACCAGGTGAGTCCCTCTCTACTATCAGGTGAGTCCCCCTCTACTACCTGGTGAGTCCCCCTCTACTACCTGGTGAGTCCCCCTCTACTGCCTGGTGAGTCCCCCTCTACTACCTGATGAGTCCCTCTCTACTACCAGGTGAGTCCCCTTCTACTACCTGGTGAGTCCCCCTCTACTACCTGGTGAGTCCCCCTCTACTGCCTGGTGAGTCCCCCTCTACTGCCTGGTGAGTCCCCCTCTACTGCCTGGTGAGTCCCCTCTACTACCTGGTGAGTCCCCCTCTACTACCAGGTGAGTCCCCCTCTACTACCTGGTGAGTCCCCCTTTACTACCTGGTAAGTCCTCCTCTACTACCTGGTGAGTCCCCTCTACTACCAGGTAAGTCCCCCCTCAACTTTCCACCACTGACGGAATGAAGACAATGGCAGCAGAGGAACTTTTTTAAATAATACATTTCGCCCAAGGCTAGGCGAAACGTCGCATTAAAAAAGTTATCCTTAGTTGCCAGTGTGTGTCCTCCCTCCTTTCAAACTGTACGACACTTTCGCGTTTAGCACTTAGAGTGAATGTTTTAATGTTGAAGGGATCCGGATCCAAGGAGGCAGAGCAGGGCGTAGGCCAACAAGGCGTGAATTTCAGAGACCTCAGCCTAAAGAAAAGGCCTTTGTTATATATTTTAAAGTACAAAGGGGACAAAACCCTTAAGGGCGAAATATTATAAAGATATTAGGAACAGCTCTCCATGGGAAAGTGGAACAGAATTCTTCCTCCGTAAGCCATGCGTGTATGAGGCGACTAAAATGCCGGGAGCTAGAGGCTAGTAACCCCCTTCTCCTGTATTCATTACTAAGAGATTTAAATAAGATTTTCTTCTGATTTTTAACCCCGGAGGGTTAGCCACCCGAGAAAGTCAGTGCGTCAACGAGGACTGTCTTACTTATTTTAATTGTGGTCCTCAGTCTTGTCCCCCAGGATGCCACCCACACCAGTCGACTAATACCCAGGTACCTATTTAATGCTAGGTGAACAGGACAACAGGTGTAAGGAAACACGTCGAAATGTTTCCACCTCGCCGGGAATCGAACCCGGGCCCTCCGTGTGTGAAGCGAGAGCTTTAGTTAAAAAGAGAAATTTTTGTTCTTGGGTCACCCTGTCTCGGTGGGATAAGGCCAGTTCGTTGAAAGATGATGATCAGGAACAGCGTAATTAGAGCAAAAATTGCAATAGTGAGAGAGAGGGAGAGAGAGAGAGAGAGAGAGAGAGAGAGAGAGAGAGAGAGAGAGAGAGAGAGAGAGAGTAACTACCAAGGAACCTACGAACACATTAATCCTTGTACTAATTAATTTTATTTCACTTTTATTTTCCTCTGGTTTTCATTTTATTTATCTTAAATTACTGCTAGACTTGTCGACTCTCACTTTATTAACGTTCCCTCCGCCTCTTTCTCTCCCCTTTTCTGTCTAAGCTATCCCTCTATTCTGCCTCCATTTGATCATCTTCCCTCTCCTCTCTCTCTCTCTCTCTCCTCCATATGAATCGTTTTCTTCTGTCTCTTCCCCCTCCCTCTAACCATACTCTTACACCTTTCACATCTCACCTTTACTTTCATCCCTCACCCTTAACAGCCACGGTGGGGACTTATTCCCACAGATACAATTTTTTTTTTTCTAGATAATGGCTAATTTTCAATATTATATTGACCACGAAGGCAGCATATTAAATGAAATTTCTCTCTGACTCTTAAAGTCATCAGTTTTGAAAGACAATTTCTTTGGATTTTTTCAGTTATTGTGACTTTAAAGCCTCACAGATTAAAATCCTGGAGGTACTACTACTGTCACTATCATCCTTTAACTCTTGCACTCTTATCACTTTCACCCCTCTGCTCCCACTCTCGCCCTCATCACTCATTTTTACTCTCATCTCTCAACCTCTAACTCTTAACTCACTCTCATCCACAGGGTCAGTTTCCAGCTATGGTCATCGGGTCAGTTTACGTCTCAGACGAGGATGACCACGACAGACAAGACAAGACCTTCGAGGTGGACGCCAGCACTTCGCCCGAAGTCGCTGCCCGCTTCAAAGTTGACCTCTACACCGGGAACATCACCATGGTCAAAGGAACCTCCGCTGGCACCCACGTCCTCAGAGTCAAGGTGAGTAATAAAATTTGAACACAGTTCAGAAAAAAAAACACAATTTGATCAATAAGACACTTGTGCAACACCTGGTAAGGTTTCTCCAGCCATTGGCTGGAATGAAGATGCTAAGTTACGTGATGAAGCAACAGAGTGGGTAGAAAATAGTTCATTAAGTTAATGGTATACAGTACCCAAACGATGACTAAAATGCTTGTCAATAAAGGTATTATTTGTGTTTTCGTTAAAATCATATATCTCCTGCCGTGTGATCACAAATCTGGATTTATTTGTTCAGGTGTTCGAGATGAACTTACTCAGGTGTTCCTTACTGGAACACCTGATATTGGTCTCAGTAAAAATACCCAGCGTTGCAAAAAAAAAAATCTGATTCATAAAAAATTACCAAGTTTAATGCATAATCCGTGTGTGTGTCATTCACCACAAAGTATTGTGAAGGCTCGATCCTCTGTCTATTTATCACAGACCGGCATCTGTCTTACCACTGCTCGACCTATGGACGGTTAAGATGTTTTCTAACTGCCCTGTTTAGAGGGCAAGAAATCTGTGTGACCCCAGGTTTTGATTAAAATAATAGAGGGCCAGAGAGAGATGTCTGATAGACAGGTGAGAGAGACAGGCGTTTAGAGAACTGTGAGAGATGGGTGTTCAAGGGGAAGACGTATAAATAAAGGAATTGACATAGCAAATAAACTAATCAACTGTGTTAGAAGCAGGTGATTGAAGCAGGTGTTTAGGGAGGGTAGGGTGGGATATGGGTGATGAAATAACACGTGAAGCAAACGGGTGTTTAGAGGGGAAAATAAAGGAGATGTGTATTTCATTGACAGGTGAGGGGAAACAGGTGTTTCATGGGGTGGAAAATTAAACAAGTGTGTAAAGGGGAGATGAGGAGGGGAGGGAAAGGTGTCTTGAGAGGTAATTAAAAATACAGATTTTTTATGAAGACAAATAGATGCAAGGCGTGATAATCAGTCTTCAACATTGTAAATTTCCCCTCATCACCCCTCTGACACTAGCGAGATTTTGCCTTCATATCTACCTAACCCCTCTCATCCCTCAGTTAGATCTGCCTGACCTCTTAATTTGACCTGTCTGTCTCCTCTTTCTTACCCTTAAATTGACCTGAGTTGACTCCTCTTTCCCCCCCCCCCTCAGGTGCACGACAACTTTCGACGGGAAATGGCCATCGGACAGACGACCATCAACGTGGTGGACCTGACTCTGTCTGCCGTCATGCAGTCTGGTTCACTGAGACTAGCCAACACGACCACACACAACATGTTGCAACAACGCCAGGTGAGGGGAAGGGAGAATAAAAGAGGGGAAAGACAGGGAAGGGGGGTGAGGGGTGAAGAACGTAGGATGAGAAAGAGGTTGAGAGGGGAAGGGATGATGGGTGAGGTAAGGAGAATGAGGCAAGAGTAGTAAAGAAATACCTAAGAGTATGAGAAGAGGAAAACAAGACAAGACAAAACAAGTAAAATACCAGGTCATAGTTCGTAAAACAGTGATACATCATCTCATAACTTGTAAATTAACGAGAGTACCTTAATTTACAGAGCACTTTAGTACACAAAATTAGCATTCTGGTATTGTAAGATAAGATAAGATAAGATTTCGTTCGGATTTTTAACCCCGGAGGGTTAGCCACCCAGGATAACCCAAGAAAGTCAGTGCGTCATCGAGGACTGTCTAACTTATTTCCATTGGGGTCCTTAATCTTGTCCCCCAGGATGCGACCCACACCAGTCGACTAACACCCAGGTACCTATTTGCTGCTAGGTGAACAGGACAATAGATGTAAGGAAACGTGTCGGAATTTCCACCCGACGGGAATCGAACCGGGCCCTCCGTGTGTGAAACGGGAGCTTTAGCCACCAGACCACCGGGCCATATGTATCTGATTTGTTTCCATCTCATCAGTTTTGAAAACATAGTTACAGGTGTTCTTGCTGCTGTGCTTCTCGAGAGAAGTAATTCCCGGTGTCTTCTAACCCCAGCCCTTGTACCCCAAGGTACCCCAGGTGTACCCTAAATCCTCAGGAGATGGAGAAACTGCTGATTAGTTCTACTGATAGACCTAAGTTCAGGGGTTATATTTAGTTTTTCATATTTTGGAACCCTATATTAAAAAAATAACACGCTGGCAGCGTAAAATGGCTATCAGAATTTTCGAAAGATCCATCAACATTAATACTTTAAAGGCGGAGAGAAAATGGTCTTCTCACTGTACTGATCGGAAATCTGCTAGGTAGAACAATCTTATTTAAACCTAAAACTCACACTTGAGAGAATCTTTATCAGTGTTCATTATGTCTAAAAGGCTTTATCTATAAGTTTAACTAATTAAAAACTCATTAGAATTCATACATGAATGAAATATTTTTTTTCTCAGGTTCATTTCATGGTGGGTTTGAAGCAGCGTAGGAGAGGCCTTCCATAGTTACTACAGAGATAATGCAAAACAGTTTTTAAGATTCATTGTGATACATTGGCACCTACAATGTCCAGTACCAATCCAAACATTTATATTTGTATTGTATACCACAGTTGAAAGTTTTTAGATATCTCCCTTCTGAGGATACCTAAAAGCTAAATGCTACATTTTAGATTAATTTCTCTCTCTCTCTCTCTCTCTCTCTCTCTCTCTCTCTCTCTCTCTCTCTCTCCTCTTCTCTCTCTCTCTCTCTCTCTCCTCTCTCTCCTCTCTCTCTCTCTCTCTCTCTTCTCTTCCTCTCTCTCTCTCTCTCTCTCTCTCTCTCTCTCTCTCTCTCTAATAGCCAGGAGCCACGGGGACTAGTCTCTATGAACGCCTCAAGAAGCAGATCGCCAGAATCCACGACATATCGGATTCTCAGGTTGATGTGTTTGCTCTGAAGGATGTAGGCAGTGAGGGTGTGGGTGCTGGTGTCGGAGTGGAGGTGAGGTACAACTGTCACGGCTCTCCTTACTACACCGCTGCCCGTCTTGACGGTGTCATGCTGAGGAGAAGACGGCAGGTGAGACATTGTGTCAGATTACTGTGTAAGTATCTATTTATATATATTTTTAATACTATAATATTTTTTGCGTTGTCTTTATTGTCTTAGCGTCCTATTCAAAGTTATTTAAATAAATTTGGAACTTTATCAAGTCAAAAAAATAATAATCATGGGACACTGTAGGCAACATTTCCTTGGTAAATATTTTCCTCTTAGAGCTGTTTACATTTTTCTGACAAAAAAAAAAAAACTCATTGTAATCGAGGTAATCGATTACATTTTTTTTAACACGCTGGCCATCTCCCACTGAGGCAGGATGACCCGAAAAAGAAACTCTTTCACCATCATTCACACTATCGCTATCTTGTCAGATTGCAGATTGCATTTATTTACTCAAAATAAGTCCCATGTGCCCCAACCCCATTATTTCACTCTTAAATTCTTAAGTTGACTCAATTTATAGATTTTACTAGACTGTATAAACAAATAAATCTACAGATCAGAAATCAACCTCTCTGAAGGCATATGTCTTCATTTAGAATCTTTTCTGTTTTGTTTATCTTTTTTTTCTCCAATTACTTTGTGTAGAGTTTTACAATACTTGCCAGTGAGACGTATCTTAAATTAAAGAGACCTCTCCTATAATCTTTTTTGAAAATGCGTAATGCTTTCTGTGTATTAGATTACCTTGTTAATAAAAATCTCTCCTAAATTCCAAAGGGGAGCGCTTAGTTCCCCAGCAGTTTTTTTTAACCCAAGGTGATATCTCGTCTGGTTCTGTTGCTATTATTGGGTCAATGTTTATCAGTAGCTTCACAGTTTTCTGTACTAAAACGAGGGAACATCTAGATGCGTACAAATAGGAAGCATCGTTTGTCTGGAACACAGCAGACGTAGGATCAAGCCTCCACCACTTCTTGCGCTGAATGACCCCACGTGGATTTAGCGCTCTTTATTATTTATTTGTGGTAAAATGAATTACCAACGGCCAGAAACAGCGCCACAGTTAGCGGATGGAAGATCAATCCTCAGTCCTCCTTAGCTATGAATGACTGTTCTTGAGAGCGTCCTGGGAAAATATTTATTTAATGACCACCATTATATCTAGTTATTGGAGTGAAAGGAAGTTCACTTGAGTATATACATCTGCAAACGCGCTAACTAGGTAACTGTGGTTAAAAAAAAAAACTTCCCTATATATTTTTGTTCTCATTTTACTTATCTACTGAAGAAGATCCCAAAAAAAGATAGAAATATACAGACCAATTAATCTTTTGAGTTTGTCTCCATGTGGGTTATTACTGAGCATACTTTTGGTAGGTAAATACTGTGAATTTCCTTAAGGTACGTAACTTTTCCTTAAACATTTTAGATAAGAAACTGCTTTAAATACACTGAAGGTAGCTGTTGCATACAAACTTGAAGTAATGAATTGTTGCAAACACACAATAGATAATTACTTTGTTCATATTATAGGAAGGAAACTGCTATAAAAACAGTGGACCTTTAAAATCTCGCTTTTCAGTTTACAATTCGGTTCCAGCGTCTCCTTACCATCTTTCTCAGGCTCTCGCTTGTCTCTGTCCAGGTATCAGAGGCTTTGGGGGTTGACATCTCCATGGTAGACATAAACGCGTGTTTGTACGAGGCCACGTCCCCTTGTGGTGTCAAGAGCTGTCAACACACGATGCGACCCAACCTGACGTCGCCCCTCGTCGTCTCCAGCAGTACTGCCACAGTCGTAGGTGTGGACATCGCTGACGACTATGCATGTGACTGCGGAGCTCTGGAGCCCCTCCCATCAGTGTGCTTCCCGGGATTCTGCTTTAACGGAGGCACTTGTTTTGTCAGAAACAACACGCTTACATGCTCCTGTCTCGACGGCACGAACTACGGCCCGCGGTGCGAACTGCTTACTGCTAGATTCGAGAGAGGTTTTGCCTGGTTTGAACCCCTGACTGTGTGTGATCATTCGTCCCTCTCGGTGACGTTTGAAACCAACGATGATAGCGGGGTTCTCCTATATACGGGTCCCACAGTGTTATCCCCATGGCCAGATTATCCTCCAGATTTCCTATATGTAGTAATCCACTGTTGGACAGTCGAGACTTTCCTCGATTTGGGAACAGGAACCATCAACGTTTCCATCCCAATCGAACCCAACATGGACCGGGCTTTCGAATACATCATCACCTGGAACGAGGGAGGTGTCACAGTAGAAGTCATTGACTGTGGAATCAACGCAACGCTGGACTCTTCAGAGCCATGTAAGAAGACTGTTCCCTTAGCAGGGCTTTCCAACAGTCCTCCCAGTCACTTGCTCAACGTCCAGGGGCCCTTACAAATCGGCGGTGTTGCAGCAATGGTCAGCTTCCCACAACTGGCAGCCTCGTACGGCTGGACTCAGACGCCTCCAGCAGTCTACCCCTTCAGTGGCTGCATTCTCGAAGTGCGTCACAACGACCACCTCTACGACCTCAATGCCACAGATTTCAGCAAGCAGACCTTCCAGCCGTGTGACGCTCCAAGAACTTCCAGAGTGGTTCTTGGACAACAGTCCATCATTATAATTCTGGCCAGCCTGCTCTGCCTCCTGCGTAAGTTTATTTACTTATCATGTCTTTGCTAGAAGCTAACATGATATATCCTTGAGAATTTACCAATAAATAAAGTATGGAATACGTATGATTAGTGTGAGCCAAAACAAAAGGCATATGATCATCTTTTTTTACTGATTTGTATGTATGTTCGTGGTGTGTGCTTGATGTATGTGTGTGCTTGGTGTACGTGTGTGCTTGGTATTCGTGCGCGTGTGTATGGTGTGTGTACAGTGTTGGTGGTGGTGATCCTGTGCCTGGCAAGGCGAGGCAAGAAGACCATCTCCTACCCTGACCTGGACCGGGAGCTCGTTAAGGAGACGATGGGAGACACCGACGTCGAGGGCTTCGGCGAGAAGGACGTTACCCACTTTGACCTAAAGTTCCTGCAAGTTACTCCCGACGGCTACCTCGTAAATGGTGAGTGACCAGCGTTCTGCACGTCAGTGCTGATTAGCTTTAAAACTCGGGGAAATTCTAAGCCAGCATGTGTTATACAGAGTCTGAATCAAGGAAGGTAATCAGTTTCGCTCCTAGAGAAGGGGCTCTAGCTCCACTTTCTGGGATAAAATACTTTCACTTGCATCAGTACACCCCTCAACCCTACTTTCCCATGTAATTAATATATACTCCGTGAGTATGCAGGAGGGTAGTTACATTTCAGTTCTTGGTATCTCCGCTTAGCTTATCATTGGCCAGTATTACTGGTTCATGGCCTCTTGGGCAGCATCGCACCTGCTCTTGAAACTGTGCATGGAGTTTGCCTCTAACATTTCCTCTTTCATCTCGTATCTGCTTCTCTACCTGAAGAAATACTTAGACATCCCTTGGCTCATCTGAGTTTTTATCTTCTGTACATATTCCCTTGCCTGTGTATGTGTGTATGTGTGTGTGTGTGTGTGTGTGTGTGTGTGTGTGTGTGTGTGTGTGTGTGTGTGTGTGTGTGTGTGTGTGTGTGTGTGTGTGTGTGTATGTGTGTGTGTGCGTACGCGCGCGAATATAATGGAGGCTTCATCCTCCGTCCAGTAATCACTAAGGAACCTTCAGGAGTGATGCTACAGTACATGCTATACAGTACATGCTATACGGTACATGCTATACAGTACATGCTATACGGTACATGCTATACAGTACATGCTATACAGTACATGCTATACAGTACATGCTATACAGTACATGCTATACAGTACATGCTATACAGTACATGCTATACAGTACATGCTATACAGTACATGCTATACAGTACATGCTATACAGTACATGCTATACAGTACATGCTATACAGTACATGCTATACAATCATCAAGTTACAGTATCTGTTCGCCTATACTGACCTTATTTACGGGAGAATATATATTCAGTATTTCCCTGTATTTTCTTTGCCAAAAAATTACATTCGGTCCCAGGACCGAAACGTTTTCTAATAAATATGTTATAGTGTTTGCTTACGTGTCTTTCTAAACCAACATTTTTTCTTATTATCGTTGAACATTATTACATCCACTCTAGAGATTTTACTTTCCATATTGAGAACAATTTACGTTGTTACACAGACAGATTACTGCAGGCGGACTCTAATTAACGTCACTTATCTCTCATTTAATTTTTTGATAAGTTTTTTACGGTGTCACTGTTTTCTGAGGACAATTAGGACACGGAGCTGGACTTCTGAGTACTTAGTACCTAGAGAGGGTAGAGTACGGGATTAGTGTTGTGTTACGTAACAAGTGAAAAAAGTTGACTATGATAATTATCTTCATAGTAAAGGGTCGTGAAGGTCATACAGCACCTGGGTGATGGAGGATAGCAAGTTTTGATCCGAGGATGGGACGGGTAGGGCCAGTTCACTGGATCAAGAGGTCTACACCAGCTTCAAGATACCCGTTCCTCTCTTCATTGAAGCGACCTCTTAAGTGCTGAGCTGTCCTCGTCTAGTAACGTGTTAATTTAACTCTTCAAGCTGGGTACCTTGATGCTTGTAACCATTCCTTTCCTTATATCAGACATTATCACCTCCCATTCCCCAGGCTCAGAAATTCCCTAGGAATATATAAACTGTTCTCCTCTAGACTGTGTTCACGAAATTTTATGTTCCTTCCCTTTCTAGTTCTGGACTGAAGGCAGTCTGCTTCCATATGTATGCCAGTATTTGTGTACACTGCCGTGTTCATCCTCAGTAAACTTGGTCTGGGTGTCACTAGCGCTTAATTCAGATGACCTGAAGCGTTGTCCGCCTCCTCCTCTAATGGAAATTGTTACCTACAGTGTACAACTTTTATATACTATTTTCTAGCTTTTCCAAACGCATATAACCAGACTTACCCTAACGTAACGTAATCTAACCTATCTACCTATCTATATGCCCTCAGTTAACTGTTTTTCTTAGGTAAGAAAGTGTGGCCCCTTAAATCCTGTGTTGAAATGAACAATGAACGAACTGTTTGGCAGTTTGGTTTTTGGTCACGCCCCTCTTACTATGACCATAGGATGCACACTCCATGCATCACGACTTGCTCTACACCTCTTATTACTTCTTGACAGACACACAAGTTGCGTACTCCTTACACCCCATCCCCCGCACCACGACTTGCTCTACACCCACAAATTCCTCACTCCTTACACCACTACGACTCAGCACACAATGGCTAGCTCCACCGCTCATGTCGCTCGCTCGTGCTATTGTCTGACCAGCTCACAGACGAAACACGACGGAATTCTTGTGCAGCACAATTTAGCAGCAGGCAGCGAGATACTTCCTCCATGGAATTTGGTGGGTCTCTCACTCCCACTTGTACTCGCCAATCCAACATAGATTTACGAGAAATGCCGAGAGACTGATGGCGTTTGAGAGAGGAGACTTGGCTTCTGGACCGCTGTAACAAGTTTCACAGCTCGAGCTTTACGGCAGAATGCTTTTGCTATATTCACTGTTTCAAATTTATTTAAAAAAACAAACTAAAATCATATGAGTCAAATAGCAGGGAAACGACTGCCAAACTATCGAATACTAGTCGGTGTCTATATGATACTAAATCGCATCTGCACGGAAAGCACCAATCAAATAGGAGGAGGTAAGGGCTGCCTTGGAGCTAGCCTCCCCTTTTTCAGATCAAACCTGACTGCAGGTTCTGTATGATACCCATGCATATAACACTCGCCAATTATCACAACTCCCCATGCATCCTGGTACAATCTGGCTTGACTCAGAAATCAAGGATCTCATCTGATCGGGTGTTATACCTGGAGACCTGGAGAGGGCTTCTGGGATCAATGCTTCCGTGGCCCGGTATGTGATCAGGCCTCATGGTGGATCAGGGCCTGATCAACCAGGCTGTTACTGTTTGCCGTACGAACCACAGCCCGGCTGGTCTGGTACTGAGATTGTAGCTAAATTTCCAGCATTTTTGTTGCGACTACATTAGCCAAATGTTTTAGTGCCATTCATGTATTTTAACAATCATAATATCTAAGTCACCTTAAATACTAATCCTACAACAGTCAACATTTCATTTCAAATGTCACAGAATATAAAAAAATCATTGAAAATTGAACTTCTAATATTGTAAATGCATAACATAGTGAAAGGTACACAAATATTTCTTTCTGAATGGTGGTGAATGTATGTATTTCCATCACTGGGTCATCTATAATACACACACATACACACACACACACACACACACACACACACACACACACACACACACACTCTGTACAGTATCGTGAATTGTGTTTAACGTTCTTATACCTTAAAAAATGTGGCAAACAATACTTTTGCAAGAATATTTAATATTTTACAAGCAAATGCTTATAATTCGATAATACCATAACAGTAGATCTAATAATAATGGAAGTAATAATAACAGAAGTAATATTAATATTATTAATAGTAAGCAGTATTAATAGTAATATTTGTATCTAAATTTACTGATAATAACGAAACTATTAACGTTTTCCGTTATAATGACGGTATTAACATACGAAAGTATACGAGCCTTCGAGAGTATTGCACTAATGTTGAAGATTTTTAGATAATTACCTAATTACCTTTCATTTGCAAAGTTGCTATATATACTTTTCCGGTTTGTTGATTTCCCTAAACTTTGATAAAAAAGAATAAAAATAATTTCGAACGATATAAAATAAAATTAATATATAAATAATGAACGATAATAATGCTATGAAAACGTAAATGGAAAAAATCGAAATAAAATTGGAAAATAAGGAAGGAAAATCAAGGAAAAAGGAAGCTGGAACACTCCATAAACTTGTGAAGGCAAATTGTTGTTGTGTAGCAAACAGGAGCAGTACGCGAGTCAGGTGAAGTAGAGGCTTGTTTAAAACGCGTTTGCAACGTGTCTAAACTTGGTCTGGGCTTTATCTCCCGCACCTGTTCCTTCCACAGCTTAAAACTTACCTCGTAAACACTCGACCTGGCTTGCTCGTCCTACGCTGCTACTACGGCTGTGCCTGCCTGCCTGCCTGCCTGCCTGCCTGCCTGCCTGCCTGCCTGCCTGCCTGCCTGCCTGATGCCTGCCTGATGCCTGCCTGATGCCTGCCTGATGCCTGTCTGCCTGCCTGCCTGCCTGCCTGCCTGCCTGCCTGATGCCTGCCTGCCTGCCTGCCTGCCTGCCTGCCTGCCTGCCTGATGCCTGCCTGATGCCTGCCTGATGCCTGCCTGCCTGCCTGCCTGCCTGCCTGCCTGCCTGCCTGCCTGCCTGCCTGCCTGCCTGCCTGCCTGCCTGCCTGCCTGCCTGATGCCTGCCTGCCTGCCTGCCTGCCTGCCGCTATTCCTCTTACTTCTTCGCCTGCTGCTACTGATAGTGCCACTGAGGCTGCTGGTGTTGTTGGATCTAATGCCGTTGGTGTTATTGGATCTAATGCCGTTGGTGTGTTGATGGAGCTAATGCCGTTGGTGTTGTTGGATCTAATGTTGTTGTTGTTGCTGCTTCTAATGCTGTTGCTGCTTCTAATGCTGTTGCTGCTTCTAATGCTGTTGCTGCTTCTAATGCTGTTGCTGCTTCTAATGCTGTTGCTGCTTCTAATGTTGTTGCTGTTGCTCCAGCTGCTAATACTGTTTGATGTCGCTACGGCTGCTAATGTTGCTGGTGCTGTTCCTCCTCTTTTATGCAAACAATAAGCATAATCGAAGTTAGCAGCGACATCACGAGTTACAGCAGATCCACAACCTGATGGATTACAGGTCGACAACCTGATGGATTACAGGTCGACAACCTGATGGATTACAGGTCGACAACCTGCTGGATTACAGGTCGACAACCTGATGGATTACAGGTCGACAACCTGATGGATTACAGGTCGACAACCTGATGGATTACAGGTCGACAACCTGATGGATTACAGGTCGACAACCTGATGGATTACAGGTCGACAACCTGATGGATTACAGGTCGACAACC